CAGCCTCCTTATCTCCCTCTTAAGTGACGTCACAGCCCCAGTCTGGCCCCTCCCTCCGGGGCTCTAACCTCCAATCCTGCGCTTACAAACAGAAACATACCTCTCCCCCACTACTTAATCCCCCACCCACTTCAGGCACATCTAGCATGAGCCATGGTGTCCTCCCAGTCTCCTGCGGTGACCTCGATCATCTCCCCTGCCCCCCGGCTCACAGGCCTTTGCAGCCACTCATCCGCACAGTCCCTTCCCACCCAGCCCCCAGCTCTCATGTTCTATGTGCCCATTTCTGTTTTCTAATGCTTTTTCTTTTCTTTCTTTTTTTAAACTTATTTTTGAGGTGGGGAAGGCACATGCACAGGAGGAGCAGAGAGAGAAAGAGACAGAGAGACAGAGAGAGAGACAGAGAGAGAGAGAGAGAGAGAGAGAGAAGGAGAAAGGATACCAAGCAGTTTCTGCACTATCAGCACAGAGCTTGATGACAGTCTCAATCTCAGGAACGATGAGACCATGACCTGAGCCATAATCAAGAGTTGGATGCTTAACCAACTGAGCTAGACAGGTGCCCCTAATTCTTTTTCTAGAAAGAAGAAAGCAAAAAAGCAAGCAAGCAAGAAAGAAAGAAAAGAAGAAGGATAGAAGGGAGGGAGGGAGGGAGGAAGGAAGGACAGAAGGGAAGAGAGGAGGAAGAAAAAGGAGGGAGGTAAGGAGAAAGATTACATACTATATATTTTGAATATGAAATACTATATATTTGAAATAATTCTGAATTTATAGAAAAGTTATATAGTACAGAGATCCTGTCCACCCCTTCCCTGCTTTCTCATAATGTTAATATTGTACATTGCCACAGTGTGTCTACCAAGCTAAGAAACCAACATTAGTTACTGATGTTTTCTCAATTTGTTTTTAAACAAGGAAGTCTACAACTGAGTAGGCAAGCCGCACACACTGCTGTCAAGAGGAATGCCTGGCCACAGTACACACTCTGGGTTTCTCTAAGCTGAAAGCAGAAGTGCCAAAGCAGCTTCCAGGACACCATAGTTGGCCTTTGGTGGCCTCAAAAGAGCCCAAGGCCCCAACCTCTGTCCAACAGGCTGATACCCACAGCCTCCACCCCAGAAGAGGCCGTGACTTTACAATTTAATCCCACAAGGGACTGTGATGGGCTCAGGAGAAGAAAAGAAAGAAATGGCATCCATCATATCAGCCTTGCCTCAAAGTTCAGCTCACCTGCCAAGAGGAAAACAAATATACTGAAAATGAAGATAGGTAAGAAGAGTTAGGAATGGTGTATCGTACGTCTCACTCGAAGGAACAATTCATCAGTGCTAGCGAGCTGTCAGCCATTGACATGATAAGGAATAACACCAAATGAATAATGTTTCCTCCAAAACCAACTCCTTTAATTACAAGCCTCTTCTTTCCAGAAGAGAGACAGAAGATGCAGAAACACCAATTTCATGCACTTGTGCCTGAATAATGTCTCCATGCTGCTTTTTCCAGATGGCGACCTTCTCACTGGAGGGACTAATGATGTGGGCATATTTAGGGAAAAACCAATAACGGAGTCTTTAACCTTCAACAACAAAAAGCATGTTGTACAAAATGTTCCTTGGGATACATTAGAAAATATCAATTACATTGCTCACTGAGGTGTAATCAGCTGTAATAATCAAAATTAATTTTTAAAAATAATTAAACAGACCCCAGGGCAAATAGTCGATGCTCTTATTCTGTGACATCACAGCGTACATATGTACCTGAGAAGTTGTGCCTTCTGTTAGCAACAAAGGCATCGCGCAAGGATGAGTGATGGATGCAAGATGTGGAGGCTGGTGAGTTTCATGTCAGCAAAAAGAAAGAAAGCATTTTATTCCCTCGTCCCATGCAGATCCATACACTTTCTTTAAGAGCCTCCTATGTACCAGGCACGGTGCCCAGCCCAGACCGAGTTACTGGGATAAGATGCTCTGAAGCAAAGATGCAATTAATTTTTAAAATTAAACCATAGCCCACTGTGTTTCAAAAATAATTCATCTTTTAAAAGTCCACAAGATATCATAAGCTGTTGCAAAGATGAATAAATCAGATTGAAGGTAAGTGGGGCTCAAACAGGAAGAGAGAAGCAGGGAAAGAGGTGCGTGCAGGTACATGTGTATGCATGTGTTGTGCAGAGATTTATGCCACCAGGCATGTGCAGTTAAAAGAGCTGGGTCATGTTTATGTCTCTGAGCATCGAAGGGCCCAGATCACTGTGCCCAGAAATATAAGTGACAGGAGTCCTGCTGTTCATGAGGTGTTATGGAAAGGCACGTTCTTCCTGATGCTGACAGCTGAGAAAGATGTCCCCCGTGGCTGCCCTTTCCCCACTTTAGTCCAGCCACACTGGCCTTTGCTGCCTCAGAACATTCCAGCAGATGCCGGTCTCCATGCCTTTCCCTGATGATCCTCTCTGCCTCACCGCTCTTCTCCAGAAAGTCACTTCCTCATTTCTCTGCTTCTATGCCTCCCTTCCAGAGAGGGCTTCTGACCACCTTCATCTAAACAGCCACCCTCTCCCACTTACCCTGCTCGATTTTTCCTCATTGCAATTAGCACTCTTCACATACACAAATGTATTTGTTTATTATCTATCTTCATCCCCTAAAAGGTAGTCTCCATGAAAAGCAGATAATATGTCAGATTTTTCTCTCCTTGCAACCTCAGTGCTTATTTCAGGGCACAAAATAAGCAGTTGGTAAACATTTGCTGAGTGAGTAAATGAATGAATGAATGAATGAGACCTCAGTTGATGTAGAAGACAGTATCTTCAGCAGGCTGCCATCACCAAAGACAGAGCTGATTTAAAATATTTTTGCTTCCGTGTGAGCCCAGAGCAAACTGTTACAAGCCATTTGTAGACCTACACGTCCTCAAATTTTGCAGTCTATTCAAGCTTCTTTCAGGTGAGCTATTTCTCAGCCAGTCTCCCCAGGACTCAGAGGCAACTTAGTCAAGCCAATGACAGTGACCTGGGAGAGAATGGGGAACTGGCAAGAGGCACATCAATAGTCTGCAAGGGCTTCCATACAATGCATGTCCATGGCCAGAACCCCAGCTGCCCCTTTCCTAGCTTCCTTAGCCAGATGGACATGACCTCCTGAGGATAAAGCTAACTTGGTCAAGGAACAAAATTTCCCAGGGTGAAGCCAGGGGAAGAGGGGCTGGACCCCTTCTCTCACAAATGGCATCGGTCAGGAGCATGTGCTTGGGCACAAGTGGTGACGCTTCTTTTTAAGATTCAGTTTATACATCTGTACAATGAGGCTGATAATAGCTGTATGATGCAGCTGTTACAGAATCTATGTGAGTTGTTCATTCACTCAGTCAGCCAGTCAACAAACTGACTGAGCAGTGTCTTCCACAAGCCAATGTGCTAAGGACGTAGCCTACCCTCTGTTTTGAGTAATAAGTGGCCAGATAGCCTAGTCAAGTTCATTTTGTTTTCCCTTCTAGGTTTGGGCTCTGTCTCCATATGTCCTAAATCCTCTTGTTTCTGAAACTCAGGAAGGAGAAAGTGTCCTTCCCCAGGTTACCTGAGTAGTTAAAGGCAGCCCTCATTCCTCTCTTCTCCCCAGCATCTGATGATAGCACCCTCCCATCAGTCACTGGCCACAATGGACAACAGAGCCCTTGGGACAGCAGAGCCCACATTCTGAGAAGGTGGGATTTGGGGTCAACCTCATTTTCCAAAGTTATGTGGGCAGACAGCTCCAGGTGTGTAATGGGTCTATCAACCATCTAGTCCACCTCCCTGGGGAGCCCCTTCCCACAGTTTCCCACAGTTATCTGTCCCATTGTGGAGACGAGGAGAAAAAGATTCTGGGAAGTTAAGCAAATGGCCCAAGGTCTCCTGATACCAAGGTCATGTCCATTCAATGACCACCATCTGCCTCTGAAAATAAGTCAGTGACTCCAGCATTAGAATATATGACACACTGTGTTTCTCAAAAAGAGCCTCAGAAATATTTCTAGTCCTAGAATGCTCTTTCAGAACCTGGCCACTTCCCCACCAGAAGGTAGGGTCTATTTCCTTCTGCCTTAAACCTGGGCAGAACTGTGTGCCTGTCTCTACCAAAGGAATGCAGCAGAGGTGAAGCTAAGTCATGGAAGACAATGGGGCTTCCACCTGACTCTCTGTCTCTCTCTGGCTCTCTCTCTCTGTATCTGTCCATCTGTCTGTCTGTCTGTCTCTCCTTCCCCCTTATTTGGAAATTAGCCCTTGAATCCCAGACAATAGGTTGTAAGGAAGCCCAGGACATATGAAGAGGCAGGGTATAGGTGTTCCAGCCAGCGGTCTCAGCCAAGGTCTCTGACTAAAGTCAGCAGCACCATCAGCTGTGTGAGTGTGAGTCAATGAGCCTTCCAGTTATCCCAGCCAAGGCCCCAGACATCATGGAGTAGAGGCACCTCCCCACCCCTGCTGTACTCCAAATTCCTTATGACATCAGCCATGACCACAAAAACTCATTGTTGGTGCCACTGAGTTTTAGGATGGTTTGTTGTGTAGCTTTAAAGAAATTAATTGGAAAAAACGCCGACAACTTGGCCCCACATATTCAAGATGATCCACCACTACATCTCCTGGTAATGGTGCCAGTGTTCTGACCCCTTTGCTGAGTCCACACATATGGCTCTTACTGAGCTGTGGGCCAGTGCTCTCTGAGCATGCCTGACTCAAAAGGAGAATAGGAATGCACACTGGTTTGGGATTTAATGCCATAAGGAACACCTGCTCTTGGGGCTCAAGGGGAGCCCTTATTCCCCTCAAGTTAAAGCCAGCTGAAGATCTGACTCCCCTATATGTAGCTGCACCTTAGAAGTCACATGCCTAACCTTAAATGCTCAGAAGAACATAGAATTGGGTCATATCCAGCAACAACAGAGAGAGAGAAGACAGGACTCATGGGATCTGTAACAGATGACTGATACTCCTTTAAGGAAAAGGGATCTGAACTCACCTCTGTCTTGCACTCAAGGTCCTTGGCCTGCCTCCCGGGCATCAGTCTCATGGCTGAAGACAAGCTGCCACTCCATGAAGAGACCTTGCTCTGATGTCCCACGTTTGAGCGGCTGGCCAGCGATTTCTTCTCAGATGCTAGGAAAAGGGAAGCAAAAACTGTCAGAAGTGAAGTTGAAAGGAGAATACACACTTTTTGCAATTGGCCTGGCTTTCAAAGGGCCAGCCAAGGGCACAGGCTTATTGTGCCACCTCCAATAAGGAAAACAGCCCAGGCTACCAGCTCACACTGCCATCTTCTGACGAAGAAATACAGTGTGGGGTTCAGGGTCACCAGACCTGACTTCAACTCCAAGCTCTACTGACTCAAAGTGAGATGCTGGACCAGTTAGCTAAGGTCTCTGAGCCTCAGTGTTCTCATCCTGCAAGCTGGGAATAATAGCATCGAACCTCATTCTGATGTCATGAAGAGTAAATAAGATTATGTGTTTAAAACACAGGCCACCAACCATAGAGATTTTTCTATATATGATTGTTGGCAAAAAGAGAGCCATCTATCAGCGTTGAGGTCCATCTCACCATTTTATTCACTATATGTGCCTTGGGATATATGTCCTATTTAATTAAAATTTTTCCTGAAATGGAATCTGACATTCTGACTTCAAATTACACTTGTAAATACATAGGTATGTACATACATACATATTTTCCAGGGTTAATTTGGATAGTCGATAAATAAAAGTTCTATACCGCCGGGCAGTCTGGGATGATGCAAATGGAAGTAACTAATTCCTGAATCACTGTCAATGTTGTGATGCTAGAAGACTTAAAACAAGTACACGAGCCATAATTTGAGAGCAATGACCACTTTAAAAACAGAATTAAGGGGCGCCTGGCTGGCTCAGTCAGTAGAACATGTGACTCTTGATCTTGGGGTTGTGAGCTCAAGCCCCACATTGGGTATAGAGATTACTTAAACATAAAATACTTTAAGCAATTAAAAAAAATAAAAACAAAATTAAAAGATCGTTCCTACAGCTGCAGTAACTAATATAAGGGGGGGAAATGCTGAGTCACTAAAAGAATGCAAAGATCATTAATATCTTAGGGATAAAAACTCTCACTTGAAACATGAAAAAAACTGAGGCTCCAGGTCATTGCATGATTTGGTGGCAAGGTTTCAAAGCTGGTAGGTGAATATCAGGACAGGACCTAGCACCCTACGCTCTAGGCTAGAGCTACAGCTCTGACAAGGTAACCCCTCCAAGAGATTACTAGAATCTGCTTGCACCTCTGGCCTTCCTTTCACCCAACATGCAAAGCAGCATTCATTCTTCATGCTCAAAGATGCTTGAGGTTTCAGTAATTCCCACCAAAGGGATGAGAGGGGAGGTCTGGGTAGAAAAGGCTCTGGGCCCTGAAGGGAATGTTAGGAAAGTCTGCATCTATGAGACTCAGCAGTTCTGTTCCCTGGAGCCAAGTGGACAGAGACCTAAGTAATGCTGCCAGGCCTTGAGCATCGTCTCCTCCCAGAGTGGGGTAATCTCTTCAATCTTCACTTCCGTATCTCCAGGTTTCACAGAGAGATCAATCTTGAAGGTGTCTTCCAGCTCCTGCCGTCTCTGTGCCACGAGCTGCTGCCAGAGGGTCTGCACCGTCTTTTGGATGTTGTGCTGGACTAACAGAGAGACCATATTGCACAATCAGTTTGGCCTCAGTGCCTGTCCCAGCAAGGGCCAGGAGATGATGTTTCATAGCTGCTTTTATTGCATCCTTCTAGAATGTCACTCAAGCTTTGCAACCTCCAGCCAGAAAGCAATCAGTATGTAGACAGCACTACCAACATCCATGTCAGCTGGCCTTTCCCCCACCTCCAACAGCCCACCTCTAAGTCCTGCCTGCCTCATATGTTTGGAGCTGGGAGACACGATTGATGGGCACAGGAATCTCTTTCTCCCACCCCCAACTTCCATTAAATACCAAAGGGAAAAATACCCGTGTAAGCTCTAGGTAACCGAATACCACCCCCAACAGCTCCTTCCAATGTACCTTCTAGGTTGGGCCCTCAACGGAATGGACACCAAACCCAAGGCTGTGCCTAGGGACCCAGGACCCAAGCCAGTCCTCTTTCCTAGCACTGAATCATGCTTCTCACCACCCACCAATTTCAGTGCCCTGGATTTGCCAGGTATGAACCAATCTACCAGGCCAGTTCTATCTATTATGCCCCATAATTATAATACCCTGAACATTGCCTAAACCCCCTTGAATCTTAAACCACTGAGTCACTCCTCCGGTACCCACCTCTACAGTCTATTTTTCTCACCCTAGTAGGATGGACATTGCTCAGTTCACTCTTCTAGCCAAACCCAAAATACAAATATTTGTGTTGTAATTAACAGCGTGTCAAATTTATTTTTTTTATAGTTTATTGTCAAGTTGGTTTCCATATAACACCCAGTACTCATCCCAGCAAATGCCCTCCTCCATGCCCATCACCCCCCTTCCCCTCTCTCCCACCCCTATCAACCCTCAGTTTGTTCTCAGTATTTAAGAGTCTCTTAGGGTTTGCCTCCCTCCCTCTCTTTAACTATTTTTTCCCCTTCCCCTCCCTCATGGTCCTCTTTTAAGCTTCTCCTGTTCCACATATAAGTGAAAACATATGGTATCTGTCCTTCTCTGCCTGACTTATTTCACAGAGTATACTTTAAATTCATGAGAGTTTTAAGCATTGGCTTTGGCACCTATGTGACCAGACAACAGAAGCCCTTGTGCCTGCTATCTGGTATCACAAGGTGAGTGGCACAATCAACAAACCAAAGTGGTGGACTAAAGTCTGCTGAAGCTTCTTAGATCAAAAAAGAGCAAGAACGAGGGGCGCCTGGGTGGGTCAGTTGGTTAAGTGTCCAACTTCAGCTCAGGTCATCATCTCACAGTTCATGAGTAGAAGCCTCACATCGGAGGCTTTGGATCCCACTTTGGATCCTCTGCCTCCATTTCTCTCAAAAATAAATAAACATTTGGGGCCCCTGTGTGGCTTAGTTGGTTAAGTGTCTGACTCTTGGTTTCAGCTCAGGTCATGATCTCACGGTTCATGAGTTTGAGACCTCCACTGGGCTTCGCAATGGCAGTGTGGAGCCTGCTTTGGATTCTCTCTCACCCTCTCTCTCTCTCTCTGCCTCTTCCCTGATCACATCCTCACTGGCTCTCAAAATATAAATAAATTAATTAAAAAAATAAAAAATAGATTTAAAAAATTTTTTACAGAGCAATTTCTTTTTTAAAATTTATTTTCAAGTTAGCTAACATACAATGTAGTCTTGACTTCAGAAGTAGATTCCTGTGACTCATCACTTACATACAACACCCAGTGCTCATCCCAATACGTGCCCTCCTCTATGCCCATCACCCACTTTCCCCACCCCCATTAACTCTTGGTTTGTTCTCTATGTTTAAGAGTCTCTTATGGTTTGCTTCCCTCTCTGTTTTTATCTTAATTTTCCTTCCCTTACCCAATGGTCATCTGTTAAACTTCTCAAATTCTACATATGAGTAAAGTCATATGATATCTGTCTTTCTCTGACTGACTTATTTCACTTAGCATAATACCCTCCAGTTCCAGCCACATTGTTGCAAATGGCAAGATTTCATTTAAAAAGAGCAATTTCTAAACACATGGATCTGGCTGCTTCTTGATTGTTTGTTTGTTTTTACAAGTTGCCAATCACTTTATTTTTTTAAATGTTTTTATTTATTTCCGAGAGAGAGAGAGAGAGACAGCGTGAGCAGGGGAGGGTCAGAGAGAGAGGGAGACACAGAATCTGAAGCAGGCTCCAGGCTCTGAGCTAGCTGTCATCACAGAGCCTGACATGGGTCTTGAACCCACAAACCGTGAGATCATGACCTGAGCTGAAGTCGGGCACTTAACCGACTGAGTGACCCAGGCACCCCAGCCAATCACTTTAACTTGATTTGATATTAGCAAATTTAAAAATCAACTCAATCAAGCCAAAAATCTCATAGAAACAATGAGTTTATTTACTCCATTCCCATTTTCTAGAGAAGAAAGTTAAGACAGAGCTTGGTAATGGATTGAATGAAATGAGATGACATTCCAGTTCCTGGATCTAGCAGTCCAGAGGAAAATTCAAGAGAGCATCTGAGAAATCAACTTATGGTGAAATCCCTGGAATTTTAGTAAGTCCACCAAGTTCTTAGTCTGACCAAGTCCCACTGAGCTGAAGAATAAAACCCAGAAGTTACCACCACCCACCCACTCTTCCAAAAATAAACAGCAAATGAAATGTACCATCATTCAAACTTGGGAAGTCTTCCTCTCCTTTTTCTCTTACTTCTTCATTTGGAGAAAGAAAGACTTGATGATAAGGATTGATTCTAGGCTTCGGTTCCAGTCCAAATCCTTCTGGATAACTAGGAGACAGGAGATTTTTCACTATACCTTCCAGTTTCGTTAGGGTCATTCCTTTGTTCTTTACTACAAATAATCATCCTCCAAACTCAGTACATATCAATTGGAAAACACTTGCCTAATCAAGTTAAAGCAAATATGCAACGGCAACTTCTGTGACAGATATTCTACAATGGCATTCTGGAAAATAGGAAAATTTCCTTTTTTATTATTCTTGTCTTAAAAGTCTAATCCATGCTCCCAGCAGGCCCCTTGAGCTCTCTCCTCGTTTCCCAACCACCAGAACTGGTCATTTGTTTTTGCAGGTTCCCAAAGTATTGACCTCTGCCTTTGTTTGGCCCTGATCTCATCCCATCTGGAAGGGGCCAGGCCAGTGTCATGGGCCCATGACCTGTGCAGTCGAACAGGGTTTACACTCAGAAACGTCTCATGCTTGGACTCTGCTGTCACTGCTGTGACACTCTGCTCTCTCAGTAAATTTTGAACAACACATCTGCATTTGCAGGATCCTGCACATCATGTAGCTGGTTCTAAGTGCAGGCATATGGGTTTACATATTAGGTTTCCCATGAACTGTGTGTTCTGGGGCTCCTAACCATATTAAGTCCATGTGCCTTCTCTGGGTCCCTTCAATCAACCAAGCAAAATAGATACTCAGTACATGTTTGTGGATTGAACCAAAAATGATAAACAAGGAAATGTAAATATATCACTATATGAGAATATCCATTCTTGAAACTTCTATAATAAAATCCCTTTTGATTTTGAGCCAGTTAGCCCCCCAGAGGGATCTGAGGAAGGTAGAAATCCAAACATACACATAAGTTGGCATCTGCCGTTCTTACCTATGCTTCCAACATGGATCGACTTAATTCTTAAAATACAGACAAGAGAGAAGACCCTCCCAATTTAACCCACCAAAAATGGATTCTTTTGTTTCAAACAAATAAAATAGCAAATGCCTCCTCTGGGCCAGGAGTATTTTCCAGTGATTCCAAGAGAGTTTTAAGACAAACCAAGTCTAGAGTTTTGTAATATCCAATAGGCAATTTGACAGGATTTTTGGACTTTTTTTTTTCAATAAATAAAATATAATATGTACTGGTATAAAAACCACAACAACAATAAAAAGACAAGAGCCAAGTATAATATCCCATAGCCTGCCTTTCCTCTAGGCTCAACATGGCTCTCTTAATAACAGAAAGCATTTATGGGGCATCTAGGCAGCTCAGTCCATTAAGTATCTGACTCTGGATTTCGGCTCAGATCATGATTTCACAGTTTGTGGGTTCAAGCCCTGCATTGAGCTCCGTGTGCTGACAGCACAGAGCCTACTTGAGATTCTCTCTTTCGAAAGTAAATAAATATTTTTTTATAAAGAGAGAGATAACATTTGTAAGCATATGATGCCAAGGCACTGGTGACACAGAATATTCACATAGGAAAAAACAGAAAGTGCATCTACACAGAGAAATCTAGCGTATTTTCAAACTTTGGACTTCAAGAAAAGGATTTAACTAAAGTTAATGCAGTTTCTTTTTATTAGTATTTCTTATACAAGTATGCTTATGGATATCATTTTATATCACAAATTGTGTGTGTATTTTTTTCTGCAAGAAATTTATGCCTCCCCTAAATGATATAATTTATTATGTATATTTTCCATTCTAAGACTGCATTTATCAAATGTTAATATTTTTAAAATCCGCTGCATCATAAAATCAATATGTATATTCAATGTTGGAGCTTTCTGCCCCTAACATGAAATCAGTAAGAGATCTTACAACCTGAGAATTGTGGAAATGGGGTAAATTATTAGTCCATGATGCTCAGTTACATGGACCAATTATCGAACACTGCCCATAATTTGGACAACCAGGTAACCAAAAAAATGTATATGTACCAGCTGTATGGACCCCAATCAAGTGTCCCTCTAAAGCTTTCTTCTCGGCACTGACCACCAGCAGGCAGGAAACAAGTAGGCAGCACTTACCTTCTCTCACTGAGCAGCAAAAAACAATGCATGAGACATAGGAGGAAGCTGACATTGGAATTGTAGGTGGCAAAGATAATGTCCCAGTGTTCCTGTAGGAAGCCCAAGATGCTGAGAAGACTAACGCATTCGGAGAGGGATTGCTGGGGCTTGGACAGGCAATAAAGAATGACTTTATTTAAACTGCTGTACAAAGCACTGATGAGAGCATCCTTTTGAGAAGAAGCATTCTCGATGACCTGTGTCATAAAATAAACACACACACACACACACACACACACACACACACATACTTGAGAACACTTTATGGGTTTAGATACTGACCAAGTTAAATGTGAAAATGATACATTCTTAGAATCTCCTCTATATTTCAAAAAGTTGACATGATCTAAAATTCAAATAGGACTACTTTCCTCTACCTCTGAGCTTCTATTTAAGGGAACGATCACTGAAATAAATTCAAAAACCCGGATTTATCAAAAACTTGTGCTGAAAAGAAATATTAAAAACATAAAAATTTCCATATAACCCCCAGTGCTCATCCCAAAAAGTGCCCTCACTCTGTGCCCATCACCCCCTTCTTGCTATATGGAAACCAACTTGACAATAAACTATGAAATAAATAAATAAATGAATAAATATTAAAATAAAAAGTTAAAAATAGACTTAAAAAAAGAAAAGAAAGTAAAAGCTTACCACCATCTTATTATAAAAATTTGACGGGAAAAACTTAACAGAAAACCATGGAGAAGGGGAAAGGGAAAAATAGTTACAGAGAGGGAGGGAGACAAACCATAAGACACTCTTGAATACTGAGAACAAACTGAGGGTTGATGGCGGTGGTGGAGAGGGGAAAATGGGTGATGGGCATGGAGGAGGGCACTTATTGGGATGAGCACTGGGTGCTATATGGAAACCAACTTGACAATAATAAAGAAAATAAAAAATAAGCAAAAAAAAAAAAAGATGGGAACCAGAAATTTCTAAAACACTAGTAACATGGTTTACATTCAGTGTATGACATCCATGCTACTTATAGTGCCTAATTTTTAAAATATATTATTAACTATTCATAGTATTTATGTATAGAGTGTTTACAATATTCCCAGTATGATGCTAAGCATTTTTGCAACCACTTACATGAATTGTTCATTTAAGCATCGTAACAAAATGAAGTGAGCATTAAGATTTTCCCACTTTAGGGATAAGGAGGCTCAGGGTCAGAGAAGTTAAGTCGTCGTCAGCAAGGGTCAAACCCACATCAGACATTGAGTCATGCTCTTAGCTACTATATCATCTAACAGAGATGGGAGTCCAACAAATTTTAGTACATGGGAAACTTAGAGGGGGAAGGTTCTGATTTGTAGCCTTGACACTGATTGGTCCATCCATCTAATTGGTTTCATTGCTTCATTGTAACTAATAGAGATCCAATGCACAGCATCGCGATTATAGGTAATAACACTGTCTTATAAACTTTAAAGGTGCTCAGAGACCAGATCTTAATTGTTCCCACCACAAAAAAGGAATGATAATTATGTGACTTGATAGAGATGTTAGCTAACACTCTGGTGGTAATCCTACTGCAATATATAAATGTATCAAATCTACATTAAGTTTATACTCTGTTATACGGCAATTATATCTCAATAGAAACAAATCAGAAATGTTAAAAAACACAAGACTCCATAGCCAAAAACTATGTGCTAAATGTTTCAGTCTATTAGAAAGATCATTTGTTAATTATATATTGCTCTCTTAGAATTACATCAGTAATGTAAGCGTATGTACCAGTGAATTTAAGTTTTATTTAAATCTTCTGGAATTTAGGATTTATGTTTTATCATCATCTTGTCCTGCTCCTCAGATAGGTCACATCTGTCAACCTGAGGTTAAGGTTTGTGAGAGTCACAGGAGTGAGCAGGAGAGAAGGATGATGGATGTGTGTGGAGCTAAGTCTGGCTTGGCATCCCGTGAAGGCATATCAGCCCCCAGTGGGCACCCACTCTGAGTATCTGCCATTACCACTGGGGAGATGCTATGCACTGGATGTTTGCACCCCTCCCCCAAACACATATATTGAAACCCCACATGGGGTTTCTGGGAGGTAAGCAGGTCATGGGGATGGAGCCCTCATGGTGGGATTAGTGCCCTTATAAGAAGAGAGAAGAAAGAGCCTGCTTCCTCTCTTTCTCCACCCCATGAGGATACAGGGAGAAAATGGCCATCTGCAAACCAGGAAGAGAGCTCTCCCCAGATACCACATCCACATCTGCTGGCACCTTGGCCTTGGACTTCCCAGCCTCTAGAACTGTGAAAAAGAATGTCTGTTGTTTAGCTACCCAACCCATAGTGTTGCCAAAGTGGCCTGAGCCAAGTAAGATGGGAGCTCAGGGGCTCCTCTGGTTTCTCAACACAACTTCCCAAGAATCTGACTCTGTAGAGACAACAAGTGATATATCTCCCATGTTGGGGTTATTCTTGAGAAAGCATCTGAATACATTCTGTTCAGGCTTGCCCAGAAATGTGCATCAGTCAGAATGACCATCGCCCTAGGAGATGTGCCAAAGCCTGGTCCTGGGATCTGTGGTTAACTACAGACAGAGATGTTCTGGGAACACTGATGTCACCCTGTCTGCGAGGCATGACCCCCCCTAGGTTCGGCCGCAGAGGGCATGCTAAGATCGACTGGCGGGAGTTTCTGGAGGCAGATTTCAGCTTCCCTGCTGGCTGGGACCGCCTCACACTATCTTGAGCTCCTCAGACAGGGAGGGTTCAAGAAAAGACTAATGACCACTTGTCAGGAAAGGTTCCAGAATGGGAAGTGAGGATGAAGTAAAGGGTTCAACTCTAGAATTCTGAGAGTGTATGATTCCGGAAGTGTGTATGTACACATGTACAATAAAGAATGTGTGCACATGTACACACACACATACTTACATCTAAGGGTGTATGCATAGGCATGCATTTGCATGTATGGGGGTGTATGAAGATCTTTCTGGGGAGGGAGGGAAAGCACAACAGGAATAATAGGGCTAGGGAAAAATACCCTTGTGACAATTTCAGGAAGGCCCATATATGACTCATGCAGGTGCATATTAAGAATGAAATGAAATAAGCCTTTTGGAAATAAAGAGCTTTTTTGGACTTTTGCTGATGAGGAATAAGAATAATTAGGATTAAACCAATGATTGCAATAAAAACCCAAAATGGGGGTGTACAGGCTCGGAGGGGACACAGCTCAGGTACCAACACAGGGGGCTAAAGCCCCTAGTCGCTGAGATGGATCTCAGGTGGCTTGAGGTAAGAGCCCTGCAGGGCACGTGGCATCCACCTGGTGCCACCTGGGCCATAAAGGTCCTCCTCCTTCCTCCCGCCTGTCATGGAATCTGTTCCCAGGAAGGACAGCAGGTCCAACTGGACCGACCAGATAGCAGCCAACGGTGTGTCATACAGACACTTGGTGGGTCAGCGGGGTTCCCCCCCGCCACCACGGCCAGCCCAGGGCTCTTACCACCATGATGTGGTCTATGATGAAGAGAAGGATGTGTCTGGGGTCTGCTGAGAACATCCCACTGTATAGTTTCTCTACCAGCTTCTGGGTGAAGTGGGAGATGCTTGCGAGTGAAGGACCAGAAGCAGCTTCTGCATTCGGCTGAGGCTCTTTACTGCCTGGAGGTGGGGGGTGGTAAGGACACAGACCAAGTCAGACATCATCAGAGTTCAAATGGTCTTCTCCCACGACAGTCTCCAAGCCCCTCATGGTAACCAGCCACATCCTACTCACCTCTGTACCCCTCATTTGTAACCTGTACACCCTGCTGCTGGAAGATGGGGTCTTACATGCAGCAGGTGCCCAATGAACACCCATTTTTTTCCAAAGTAAATTGCTCTTTAACAATGTAGTCAGTGATGTCAACCAAGTGGGGAGAAGGCAGATGAGGAGCAGCATTTGCTCCAACAGGCATTTGGGAGGAGGGTGAGGAGGATTTAAGACATATGGTAAATGGGAAGGCTGTCGTGGTGACCCGAGGCCCTGTTGCTACAGGGGACAGAGGATAAAGCTGTCACATTGGACTGTCTGTGCTCACCATCATGGTAGGCACTGTGCTCAGATGGTGATGTGATGGTCTCAGCTAATTCTGATAACAACTGTCTGAGTTCATCACAACTGCCATCCTCACTCACAGCTTCAGGCACCAGCCCCAAGTCACATCATCATCTAATGACAGAGCCAAGAGCTCAAATGGAACTACCAAGGTTGTGCTTTTCACTGCTCTCCTTTACTGCCCTTCAGATACTCCCCAAGAAAGGCCAAAAGTAGGGTTGCCACACTGTGAGGCAAGGAAGAGTCCAGAAGATGGGTCACGTCACTAAGGACTCCATGGCTGAGAAACCACAGAGAGGACTTTTGTTTAATCTCATTGGGAAAGTAGAGCTTCCCTGGAACTAAGCATTCTGAAGGAAGCTTCAATCTGAACTTCTTAAGGGCAATGACAATGTCTTCAAACAGGTTTGTCCATTTAAGAAACACTTGCCGTGCCCAGTCTTGGGTGCAGAGAATAAGATGCTGAGCAGAAGAATGTTAAATTCCAGCTGACATCTTGACTTCCCTCATGGGAAGAGGCCAATCCTACTAAAGCCAGAGGAGAAATGATTTTAGCTCTGAGGCTTTCTGTCTCTGAGCGGACCAGTGATCGCAGGGGTGTCATGGAAGGTGGGAAGCATGCCTCCCCTGGGGCCTCCCCAGGGTAAGGGTGGTCTCATCACAGAGTCATGAGGGGCTGACATGCAGGTGGAAGATGGCTCCTAAGGGGCCTTGCAGCACTGTGACCCAGAGGATGGGTCAGTAGCTGGTGGACACACTGGCTTTCTTGCTCAGCTTCCAGAAATTTTGTGTCATAAAAGAGGAGAGTCACCCCCACTCACCTCTGAGCATGGACGTGTTGCCTCTGCTCATTGTGTGAAATATTTCCATGGTGGAAAGCAGGACCTCGGACTGGAAATCCCGCTTCTGTTGGCTGGTGGCATTATCTGGAGAAGCCTGGAAGCAAGCATACTGGGGACTAAGACAGTGGTCACACGGCCATCTTGTCCACGTAGTGCCCACCAGCCCATATGTTAATACTACATCTGCTGGGAGTGTAGGCTGCAAAGAGCTCACCCTTATCCTTCTCCAGGGCACTGCCCTCTGCTGGTAAAGTTGCCTCACTGGTGAGGTGATGCCCACCTGTCAGGTGGAGGAAGCAAGTTGTGGGAGACCCACAGGCAATGACGACCACGTAGATGCCTCAAGATGGGGCCAACTCTGGGATGCAGATAGCACACCTTTGTTCCCCTTGGGACCAGGCTATGGCTGAGACCATTTCTTAGCTAGCTTCACCCCCATCTCCCTCTGCTTCCTTCCCAGCTTCCCCTGAAAGCATAGCCCCCAGTAAATCACTTCCACAGAATCCCTGCTTCAGGCTACTTCCAGGGACCTGGATAAAACCTGCCTTTATCCACCTAATCACATGCTGCTTGGTGAGCTCCCCATTGTGCAAGGGTCTGTGGGTCCCACCATATCACTGTAGCCCCAGGAGATGTTCTCAACGACCAGCCAATGAGGTTCACCTACAGACCCAGGTGAGCTCTCAGAAGACATCAGCTCTCAGGTGTCCCTGGGCATACCCTGCCCTTGTGTGCCCATGCCCTCCCAGACCTGCTCCCACAGCACATGGCCCAACCACACCCTTCCCAACTCACCTCCAGGATCACTTCCAATGGCAGCCACTGCTTGGGGTTGGAGGCTGCCAGCAAGAGCTCCCTCAAGAGCAGCTGCATGAAATCTCTCAGCTGCTTCCGGGCGGGATGTGACTTGGCAGAAGCCTGTAGGCCTTCTGGAATGCTGTCGCCTTCAACCTCAGCCCCGGGGTTGTTGGTGTTCTGGGCAGGCTGAGTCATGGGCTCCTCAAAGACAAGAGAACCCCAATGAGCAGCCTGGCCTGCCTCAAAGTGCTTTCACAGCTACCTCTGGGGTGTGCACAGGTGGGATTCTTACCAAACCCATTAACACGTAAGGAAACCAAGGCTCTGAAGAGGAAAGAGACTTTTCCAGAGTCTATTGCTTATGAGGTGGCAGGCTATGGTCTCTGAGATAGGTGGGAGCCATGGAAAAAACCTGAGCATGGAGCAAGAGGGGCCTGCAGTGGTCAGCAATGAAGCCCAGGGTGTGTCCTGGGCAAGCCACTCCCCTCCTCAGAGCCACAGCTCACCATCAGCCACATGGCAACAATGAAAAGGACTCACAAAGACATGTGGGGATGCAATGAGAAAATAGCCCATATGGCAATGCCTGGCCCTATGAACTGGGGTCAGGAAAGTCTGTCCCCACCTCCTGGTAGAGCCCTCACTTGCCCATACTGTTTACCAGGCTCTGCTGATGTTGACAGACAGGACCCTCAGGTGAGAGAACCAGGACTTCCTCAAGTCCAAGTACCTGAAGCACCTTGGCTTTCACTTTATGTTCATAAAAATATTGGAAGATCAGTGAGGCAGGGGTTATCAGCTCAGATATGTCCAGGAAGACATGGGGATGCTGGGAGGCCGAATGACACACCCAAGGACATGCAGCTGGAGGCTCCTGACTCCTGGCTCACGAACTTCTCATGCACATTCATCTGTCAGCACCTCCCTTTGCTCATTCATAAAATTAATGCAGCCGATCTTAATTAAGCCATAAAATGAATTTAATGGCACCTAGGGAGGTGGTGACTGCATTAATTAGCTCCATGCGGCCTTGACTGGAAAGATGCCATATATATTCACAGCAAATCAAAGACTTTTGGCCACCAGCCTTCTGCATGAAGAGGGCCTGTCATGTTTTCTGTGCCACAAAGGCCTTTTGAAGCTGACTTGGAACTGGGACAAGGCTAGGAGGTGTGGGGATAAGCGCTGTGACACTGGAGCCGGGAGCCCCAAGACAGGGTCGGGCTCGTCTGCAGTCTCTGGGGAAGTGACTTTGGGCCGGGCCTGCCCCCAGGCCAGAATGGTTGAGTGTGAGGAAGAAGAGCCCTGGGTCAGAGTGTGCTCCACACATAGGCAGGCAGCCGGCTGGAACCCGGACTTCGCAGACAGTGGGTGTCAGAGCTGAGGTGGGGGTCTGGGCCGAGAATGCCAGGCCGTGGACTTCAGGGTCCTGGCCCACTCCAGAGGCCCTGGTTTGGGGGGTTGGGGAGGGGTGGCCTGTAGGATTGTCCTTCCTCCCTGCCTGGCCTGGGGGCGCCTGGCTTCTGTCCCATCCACCACATCTCCAGTGCTGTCCATAGTGACTTCCTTTGTTCTTTATTGCATCTTTTTTTAACATTTACTTTTCCCATATGTTCCTTTCATTGGTATTAGCTTACCAAACAATTTTATCTTCTTGCAAACCTTCTAGTCTATATATTTAGCTTTTCCATTAAAGCTAATTACTCAAACTTTATTGGGCCATTCAATTTTATTTTAAACCAGCTGATGGAAAGGACATGGGCCTTTGGGTGAGAGTAGTGAGGTCTCGATCTTGGCTCTGTCACTCATGAGTCATGTAAACTGTGGCCAGTTTCCTTCTCTCAACCATTTTGTGAGATGGGTCTTACGGCTTCCACTAAATGCAGCAGAAACTAGCCAGTCCCATTCAGCCTCTCTGGATCTCACTTTCTTCTTCCAGACAACACCACCACGAGTGCTAGTAGGGGGTTAACCCAAGCACCAGGCTCAGGATGGCCGTAGGTGTTCAGTAGAAGGTGTCTGTCCCCCATGAACACACTTCTTGGCTCATTCATTCATTCATTTGGTTGTTCAACAAATAATTATGGAGCAAACATTACATACCCACACTGTGCATGGCACGGCTTCTAAACCTTCCTTTAGCACTGCGTGTCTCTAACCTGCTCCCTTAGCTATGGTTGTGCACTTGCAGACAGGCATCATAGCTCACCCTCCCTGCTGAAGCTGTAGTTGTCCTACTGCACCACGGTAGGGACCGTGAGGGGATGAGGGGATGTCTCCCCTTCCTCTCCTGCACCTGCCTTCCCTTCACACTATTCTTACCTGCTCCTCTCAGCTCTTAGATGCTCCAAGCCCATCAGGCCCCCTTGACCTACTGGGCCTCTCTTCCCATGGTCCACACACACACCACATCCTCAGGACCCAGTCAGCCCTCTCCCCTCCCAACCTCAGCTTGTCCGGCCTCACTCACCCCTGCTCTCATGGGGCAGGACAGTGGTGTGTCCTACCTTGTGGGTTCCCAGAGGGAAGGTGGCGATAGCCAATGTCTGGAGGAACTCTGGGGCCCGCCAGGCAGGGTCCTGGGGGTAGGTGCTGTGCACAAGGCCGAGGAAGTGCAGCACGCTGGCAGGGAAGGTCTTCTCCCAGGCATCATCTCCAGAGCCTGCTGAGGGCTGAAGACATACTTCATGAGACGCGGCGCATGGGAGCGTGACCGTGGCGGCAGAGGAGCCAGAAGGCTTGAAATCTAGGGATTTCTGAGACTTTCAACCAGACACCTAATTGTAAGACGCCTAAGTCTATGGATTAGCATGGGATACTGGCTGTCAGTTGGGGAAGGGTTTTCCACGTGTGCAGATTATTTTTCCAAGGGCTTTACACACATTCCTCTTCTCCCCTCACAGCAACCCTCTGAAGTAGGTTCTACACTTACCTCGATTTTACAGATGGGAAGACAGAGGCACAGAGAGGTTCAGTAGCTTGCCAAAGGTCACCTGACAGGTAAGGGACAGCCAGGAATTGAACCCAGGAAATCTGGCTATAAAGTCCGCCTTAGACTGCCTCTGTGTGATTAGACATGGCCTCTGTGTTCAAGGAATTTGCTAGCAAGAGGTGATGCCAGCCTTCCCCAGCCCAGTGCTAATACTTCCAGCTGTAGATCTTACCCTGGCTAATATCTGGACAAAGCTTGTCTGCAGTTGGCAGGTCTTGAGGAGCCTCTTCCCACCAGCCGGGGGTCTGGGATGGATCATGCTACACTGAACTGATATCCAGTGTCCTGAGGGGATCTGGGCACCTGTTTGTCCCCACGCCATAACCAGGCCTTGGCCACATGGCCGAGCCTCCATCTTGGCTGCACACTAGTGTCACACTGAAGCCCAGTTCCTTTGAGTAGTCATGACCAGTCACTTTGTCTGGAGACTGACTCCAGCCCCAGTATGTCCAGTGGCTGCCTAAGGTCCTGCTATGTCCTGAACGGACAGCTTGGAAATTGAAAATGTACTAACCTTAACATTAGAGTCATCCAACAATGAGGCCACACCAACAACTAGATGGAATGGTGCTCAGCCTACTCCTATAGATGTTATAGGTGGATGTCAGGTTCCTCAGCCCTAGCGTCCCCCATCTGTGGCTTCTCACTTTCCCAACAGCACACTTCAAGTCCTGGCCCTATGTACATGAGTTAAGAGGTCGTGTTTACCAGGTAGCTCCCAAGGGCTTGGAACTGACAAACCTAACAGTGGAAAGAAGGCAGTGTGCATGGGACAACTGGAGAGCAGTTTAAAATCCCATCCAAAGGGGGGCGCCTGGGTGGCTTAGTCAGTTAAGCGTCCGACTTTCACTTAGGTCATGATCTCGCGGTTCGTGGGTTCGAGCCCCGCGTCGGGCTCTGTGCTGACTGCCAGCTCAGAGCCTGGAGCCTGTTTCAGAATCTGTGACTCCCTCCCCTGCTCACGCTTTCTCTCTCTCTCTCTCCTAGAAATAAATAAAATATTAAAAAAAAATTTTTTTTAAATCCCATCCACAGGATCTTGGCGAGGGTTTGGTTTGGGCTAAGCAGGTAGACAGAGGGCCTGCTTCTGAAGTCACCTGCATCTAGCTTCTCCACCAGGTTCTTACAGCACAGTGTTAGATCTATGGGAGATACCAGAGCTCGGAATTCCAAGGGCTTTTTCTGGAGTTAGTGTGCCTGGTTCAGATGCTGCCTCTGCAATTTACTGATAGCTTTGGACCAGTTCTTGAGCCCCTCCAGCCCGACTCTGTGAAACAAGGATCCCAATATGACCCATTTCAGAAGGTTGCTGGGGGGATTGAAGGAGACACCTTAGCACTTCAGGCTTATGTTCACAGTGACCAGAACACGAGCTGAAAGGTAAGGTCAGATATAAGACGTGGATTTTTGGGAAAGGAATTTGGATTCAATGCACTAAGAAACAGGGAGCCTTGAGGATTCTTAGGCATAGCAGTGACCTGAACTGTAATCCTAACGCTGGACCCACATGCCTCCACTGTGCCTCACTCTGTGACCTTGCCTGAGTGAGTTAATCTCTGTAAGCTTCAGTTTCTATATCTGCACAGTGGACATAATGCTGTCTGTTCCCAAGGACAGTTGAACACAGCAGAGTAGCTAACATCTAAAAGACTGACAACGTTAAGCCATTGGCCAGGATGTGGAGCAGCTAGATAAAAAGCTTCTGCACAGCAAAGGAAACAGTCAACTGAACTGAAAGGCACCTGATGGGATGTGAGAAGATATTTGCAAATGACATAGCAGATAAAGGGTTGGTATCCAAAATCTATAAAGATATAGATATTTATAACTCAACACCCCCAAAAAACAAATAATCCAGTGAAGAAAAGGGCAGAAGACATGAATAGACACTTTTCCAAAGAAGATATCCAGGTGGTTAGCAAATACATGAAAAGATGTTCAACATCACTCATCATCAGAGAAAATACAAATCAAAACCACAATGAGATACCACCTCACACCGGTCAGAATGGCTAACATGAACAACTCAGGAAACAACAGATGTTGCAGAGGGTGAGTAGAAAGGTGAGCCCTTTTGCACTATTGGTGAGAATGCAAACTGGTGCAGCCACTCTGGAAAACAGTATGGAGATTCCTTAAAAAATTAAAAATAGAACTACCATATGACTGAGCAATTGCACTACTAGGTATTTATCCAAAGGATACAAAAATGATGATTCGAAAGGGCATATGCACCTCAATGTTTATAGCAGGGTTAAAAACAATAGTCAGGTTTTGGAAAGGGCCCAGATATGCGTCAACTGATGAATGGATAAAGAAGATGTGGTATATATATACAATGGAATATTACTCGGCAATCAAAAAGAATGTTACCATTTACAGCAATGTGGGCAGAAGTAGAGTGTGTTATGCTAAGTGAAATTAAGTCAGTCAGAGAAGGACAAATATCATATGATTTCACTCATCTATGGAATTTAAGAAACACAACATATGAACATAGGGGAAGGGGAGGAAAAATAAGATAAAAACAGAGAGAGAGACAAACCATAAAAGACTCTTAAATACAGAGAACACACTGAGGTTGCTGGAGGAGAGGTGGGTGGGGAGTTGGGCTGAATGGGCGATGGGCATTAAGGACAGCACTTGTTGGGAAGACCAATGGATGTTATATGTAAGTGATGAATCACTGGGTCTTACTGCTGAAACAAATACTACACTGCATGTTGACTAACTTGAATTTAAATAAATAAATTTTTAAAAAAAGAGTTAAGAGGTCTTTAAAACTGCAATCACATTAACTCTAGAAAACTACCAAAAAAATGATGATGCCAAGTATCAAAATGGTAGAACTAGACAGAAAAAAAAATCAGGAGACTATATCCAAAACTGTTTCTTTAAATCAACTCTCAAGTCCCCAGATCCTTAGGTAATGGGAGGGGTGGGGGTAAAGAGAGCATGAGCCTACAAATACAGAATAAGAAGGGGGAAATAATCATACAGAAAATTAAATGAATTTAAATAGCCCATTTGTGCAAACTGAATAAAACATCTATTACTTAAACAAGGTCAAAGAGACATTTAAGAGCCTAAACAAAGCAATAATGGAAAAAATTTAGGCCCAAGAAGTTTCATGGGAACAATTTAAATAAGACAAGAATTATGGATTTAACATCTTCTTGAAAAAAAAAAAAACAAATTATTTTCAATAAAGTTAGCATAATACTGATATCAAAACCTGACAAACATACAACAAAAGAAAACTGCAGCCTGCTATCACTTATAAATATGCACTCAGAGTCATAAATAAAATATTTACAAACAGAATAAAGAAGTATACTGAAAGAATAAGAACAGAGGAACTCAGTGAATCTTCTAAAAATGCGAAAAATCTGTTGATGTACTTCACAGTACATAAGTGGCTAAAAGAAAAAAAGCAGATGATCACCTAATTATATGCTAAAAGAGTATACAATAAAAATTAAATATATTCTTGGTTTTAAAAAGAGCAAAAAGTGTGATCTGTACTGTCTTAGCATAATCTCACACACACACACACACACACACACACACACACACACACACAAATACAGGGAAAAACTAGCAAAAGATACAAATAGGCAATTCACAGAAAAATAAATAGAGATGATTACTAAGCACATGAAAAATGCTATCAATTTCACTTGTAATAAATGCAAGAGAACTCAAATCACCAGTTTGGTGGTGTTGCTAAGGCTCTGAGAACTGGACTGGGCACTCCTATACAAGATGGCAGGATATACATTACAGGGAGGAATATGTATGTATAATGTCTAATGCATCCTTCCTGAGAAGGGCGTCCAAAAGAAAATATATGAAGGACACTTTGACCCACTATCCCACATCCCAGAATTCACACTATGGAGAAGTTTGGAGAAAAAGGATCTGATCAGCTCAAAAAAGTTCATTACAGACTTTTTATAACAATGAACATTCTGCAAAAGGACATAAATTTCCTTTGTTTGAGGAACAAAGGCAAGAGGTTTATGTGGCCCAATCCTCTGTAAGGATATGGTATAATCTTAGGTGTATAGGAGAACTTTCCACTAAAGTTCACAGTGGTTATCTCTGGATGGGTGTGTTTCAGGTGATTTTTACTTTCTATCTTGTCCTTTGTTGAAATTGTAAAGGTAAGGATGAATCATTTCCCAAAAGCAATAAGGCTTTCCCACCCATAATCAAGCCTCCAGTCACCCTTGGGGTCTACAGAATGAAGTCAGACGTTTTCAGCCTTTCATGCAAGTTCTTGTTGATATGGCTCATAGTTACTCCCATTCACAGGCCTCATGGCCTTCACCCCCTTACACTTGCCTCCATGTTGAAAATAACCTCTCCACCTACCCCCGGTGGACCTTGAATATCTGAATTGAGGGGTCTCCATGTCATGTAAGTTGTTGGTGGGCATCTGTCTTCTCTAACAGGTTTCTACCTCACAGCTCACTCATGTGAGAGGCCCACCTGTCCCCAGTGGGGGTGAGCTCCTTGAGGGAACAGGTCCCTTTCCACCCCCACCAGTTGCCTGAAGCTGCTGACCCAAATTAATCGCTCAGAAATGTTCCCTTGGCATTAAATCTCCCAGTGAAGGAACTCAAATATTTTAACAAATGGAAAACAGACAACTTCTGGCCACAGCACACAAACTCCATGGGGAACATTTAAACTGAGTTTCCCACTGAGCACCTAAGTTATTGCTAGAACACACCATGCCTTTTATATCAAGCATCCTGAATGACACTTGCTAATGTTCAGCATTACCAGGAAGCTGCTGGAAAAAGTCAAGGTGACCCTTCCAAAATTGTCTTCCCATCAGAGCCTCCTTGGGAGATGTGAGGAATGGGTCTCACCCGGCTCATGGTGGCTTTCAGCATTTCCAGAAGCAGCAGGGCACCTTCAGTGCACAGCCCAACCCGGAGGACTTCTTCACTGTAGTGCTTCTGCAGGAGTGACTGAAGCATGGCATCCAGGCTGTCCTGAAAGAGGGGACAAGGACTGTAGAGAGACAAATGGCTGCACCCCAGTGGGACCAGCTTTCCAGCCAGTACATCAGGTTTCTCGGGGGGCCTGAGTGGGAGAGAGGAAACAGACAGTAGCAGCCTAGGTGGCTGGCCATGTGCAGAACTTCAGCCCACTCAGTGGTGCATGGGGGAAAGACATACGTCTGAGTAGATGCTGCATCATTTAGCTCTTTTGTTTGGTTTGAGGTCACAATCAACTTTAATGAATTTTCGTAAATGAGATTACAGAGGACATAGGAGGAATTCAAAGGCTTTGAGCACAGGGCAGAGGGTAGCACAGGGAATTGCTGGAATTGACCAGCAGGGCAATCTGACTTAGCCTCTTTAAAAGCTGGGTTTGTGCAAGCTATTCAGCCTCTTGGCAGCTCAGTTTCCTTCTCTGTAAAATGAAAATTGCATTCTCTATCCCATGGGATCGTTATAAATATCTAGCGAAATAAAATATGTAAAACATCTATCACGGGTCCTGACACTCGGCAGATGTTTGTTTCTTACAACACATTCTTGGAGAAATAGAAATACACGATTTTGGTGAACCTAGCACAGCATATTAAGAACTTTATTTTGAAGTGTGATCTATAATACTATTAGCATATATCAAGATTTAGATAGGTCAAATATAAGGATGTACAAGAGGGGTGGATTTTCTAGCCTTCTATTTGCAGAGCCATGCCTCTCCCCCAATTTCCATTCAGTGCAGTTTAACTCAATTGAGACCAAGAAACAATTTCTGAATCTGCTGTTTGTCAGGTGCCCAGGAAGGTGAGTAAGAAGTGGGCTCTGTTCCTGAGGTGCTCAGTAGCTAAGGAGAGAGGAAATCATGCAAATGTGTCTGTGCCATATAAGGTGAAGGTGTGCTGAGGCACACAAGAGGGAGTGGCTCCCCCTGCCCAGGGATCTAAGCAGAAGGTGGCATCTGAGCTCTGTGTTGAAGGAGGAGGCCTCATCAGGTAGGTGACATGGAAGTAAGAACTCATTAAAGGCACAGGGGAGGCAAGCACAAAGCAGCTGATCTTACTGGGCAGGTGATCTGGGGGGTTCACAGCACAAAGGGTAGGTAAGCAAGGAATCTGAGTTGGAGAGACAAGTCAGACACCCAACCACAAAGGGTCTTGACACTGGCTATGGATTCTGACTGGCTATGGATTCTAAACCTGATCCCGCAGGAATGAGAGCTCATGACGACTTGGATGTAGTGCAGGTAAATGAGTGAGTGGGTGAATGGTGAGAAGCTATGCATCGTGAGTGTAGGTTCCTCTTTGGAGAGATGTGGCTAAGGAAGGACAAAAAAATGACAAATAGGAGAGCAGTTGGCCAGGAATATGAATCATGGGGGCAGCTTCTGGTTTTAGGTGGGACACAGTTCACCATATGTAAGGTCTATGAGGGAAAAGTCCGTAGAAAAGGAGGTGCTGAAAGCACAGGAGAAAGAAGGCCAACTACTGGTGAGATCACTCAGGAGAGGAGTGGGAAGAATCCAGATCAGCCTGGAAAAACTACCCTTTGTCAGTGACAATAGAGAGAAGGTAATGGAGAGGGTCATGGCATGAACAGGTGGTGGAGAGCAGAGTGCCAAAGCAATACCTCCCCCTGGGCCCTCCCATTCCCACAGTGAAGTAAGTCATTTGAGCAAAGGGCCACTTTGGAGCAGAAGTCTGGAGAGCATATATGGTTTACTCTAGAATTCAGGGGAATCAAGGCACATTGCTAAGGTAAGGAGACATGCTATTTCAGAAGGTATAAGCTGAGGCTCTGATTCTGTGGTGGCATCAATTTGCCTCCCCTCCAATGCCCATCATCATGTGACTTCTCTACCCATGCACAGAAAGGGAAAGACTTAAAAGTGGAACTGATAAAAACAGACATGCTGGCAGGGAAGATGGGAGACAGAGGCTCGGGAACTCAGAGGACCTGAAGAGCTAGCCAAGGGAGTGGCACTGTGAGGGAAGGATAGAGTGAGAATGCAATAAGAGTTGGAAGAAGTGGATGGAGGTAGTGGTGGAGAGTCTTAGGGAACCTCCTCGGTAACATGGGGTGAAAAAACCAGGTGTGTCACTCCATCCCAGGAGTACCCCAAGAACCTACTTTGGGCCCATCTGTCAGCTCCGTAAGTGGTGTCTGCAGGAAGAAGGTGGACACAATGAGATAGACTTCCGGAATGTGCACGTGGTGGCCCAGAAAGTCTTTCAAGACACGGAACCCAGGAAGCAGGCAGGTGCTCTGGTCAGGCAAGGTGGCGTGGCTCTTCAAATTATCTGTTGATTAGGTGGAAGGGGCACAAAATCCAACTGAGAACAATTGCTATTGCTTCCGGTCAAGGGGATTGGACACATGAAGGGATTCCCTGCCACCTACCCATCCCATAGAAATGCCAAATATGTCATACACACATGAGCACAAGGAAGTATTCAATAAGAGTTCCTTTCCCTATTTCTGACATACTCACTCACTCATTCATTCATTCATTTATTCATTCAAAAACAGATACTTAGTACCTGCCATCTTACAAGCAACAGGGTAACTTTGTATTAGGCAATAAGGACATAGCATTTCAACAAAATATATAGAACCGCAGACCCTCACCAAATACTTATAATGTAGGGGTCGGGGGCACATTAAGGGATTTAATACCCCCAAAAATATTTGCTTGTGAATTGTGATAAGTACTATAAAGAAAAGTATAGGGGCAAAGAGAGTATAACCGAGAGGCCCTAATTCAGGGGGAACCCTCCTCTCCTGGAGGAAGTGGCATTTGAACTGAGCCCTGAGGGATGAACCCATGCCAGCCAGCAGAGCCATGTTGGTGTTGCGAGTTGGGGACAACATCTCAGGAAGAGATAAAGAGCTCAGGAGCTTTTGAGGAATGGAAGGAAGCCCCCAGTGTCTAAGCAGTCAGGACATAAGGGGATCCTGACAAGGAAGTAGGAGGAGACTGATGCTGATCGGGGTCAGAGGTCAAGGTGATCCTACTGCAAGAGCATGAAGACCCCAAGAGGAAGGAGCCTGGCACGTCCTCACTTGCAGTCCTGGGTGAGGAGGCGCCTGACCTCCCGGAGAAGGCCGCCACTCACCCATCACAATGTCCACGCCCTCGAGGCTGCGCTCCACCCAGGATCCCCCAGACAGGCCTTCTTTAAATCGCCCGCGGAGAGAGGGGCTTGCCAAAAAGTGCATCAGCAGCTTCAACCCCAGCACAGTGGTGCTGGGATGCAGGTGGCCCTGTACAAGGAGCAGGAACCAGTCAGGCCCCAGGTTCAAAAACATCTCTTCCTTTGTCCTGGGGGGAGGGGAGTGTCAAAAAATGCAATAAATTATCTCTCAGTCCACAAGCAAATAGCACATTCAGAAAATACAAATAATTTCCAGCATTGCTAGGTACCTAAGAGAGCCAAATTGAGGTTACTCTGGATATCACTTAGTGAAGCACATGTTATATTTTTAAAGAATGGTAGGGGTGCCTGGGTGGCTCAGTCGGTTAAGCGTCTGACTTTCGCTTAGATCATGATCTCGCAATTGGTGGGTTCGGGCCCCGCGTCGGGCTCTGTGCTGACTGCCAGCTCAGAGCCTGGAGCCTGTTTTAGTCTGTGACTCCCTCTCTCTCTGACCCTCCCCTGCTCACGCTGTCTCTCTCTCTCTCTCCTAGAAATAAATAAAACATTAAAAAAAAGATTAAAAAGAATGGTAAACTAAAATGCTGGCAAAGTTGCTGTTAAATGGCTAAACTTGTTTATTAATGACTAAAGGGTAAGTTGGCCAAAGTTTTTCAAAGCAATAGGAAACTGTACCAACAGATGTAAAAATGTGCAGGCCCCTTGAGAGCCCTACCCCACTAGTATTCATACTTGCAAGGCCTGACCAGTGACCCATCTAATTACATCAATACAGTTGAATAAAACACATAATGGTTAGCTCACTCCCTTTTCAGATATACTGATCAAAATTAATCTAAATGGACGAGTCCAGTATGTATGCATCTTTATCAGTTTAGGCCAAAAAAAAAAAAAAAAAAAATACAGGTTCGACTGTCACTTTCAAAAATAAATTTTAAAATGATGAGTTTGTAGAATACAGATTTACTAGAAAGGACTAGAGGGCAGGAAGGTGGGCAACCAAACCTCAGAGGCAACGGCTCAGCAAAGGACTCTGCCTCTGGGAACCAGAGAAGGGCCCATCTTTGCCGGGCAGTGTTCTCAACACCAACTGCCAGCCTAGGCAGCTAGGCTGTGGACCCTGGCCTAGAAGTCAAGAAACTGTCCTCACTTCTATTCCTGCCTCTGTTTACTAACTGGCTGACTTTGGCAGAGGTCTTGATGAGCTCTGGTCATTTTCCTTGATGATGATGATGATGATGATTTTCCTTTATGATGATGATGATGATGATGATGATGGTGGTGGTGGTGGTGGTGATAGTGATGGTGGTGGTGGTGGTGATTATGGTGGTGGTGGTAGTGGTAATGATGATGACAGTGATGATGATGGTGGTAATGATGGTGATGATGATGATGATGACAATAGTAATGATGGTGATGGTGGTGGTGGTGATGATAATGATGGCAATGATGACGATGGGGTGATGATGATGGTGGTGGTGATGATGGTGATGATGATGATGATGATAGTAATGATGGTGGTGATGATGGTGATGATGATGATGACGAGAGCAGTTAGCTTATGGACTATTTATAGTGCCCCAGACACAATGCTCAGGGATAGTCACATATTAATGTCCATTCATAGCAGGCACTATTCTTATCTTTGTATAGATGAGTAGAAAAGGGCATAGAGGATTTAAATAACCTCCCCAAGGTCTCTAAGAGCAGAGCTGGGATTTGAACCCAGGACACCAGAACTCTAGTGCTTAAGCACTACCCTATACTCTCATTCAGAAAGATGAAAAAGGAAAGGGCTGGACTAGCTCATCTCCAAGGCATCTTCCAGTTCTACCATGTTTTGATTCTAGAAATACAAAGTCTTTTTAAGCACTACTCGCAAGGCTGTTTTACTGAGGGGTAACTCCCCACTATATTCCCCCCTCCCCCAAACACACATACACACTAAAATATCAACCCCAGCAGGAGCAAGGACCTGGACTGACTTCCTCAGCACCACATTCTTGGAGTGAGGAACAGAGTCTGACACACAGTAGGTGCTCAACAAATAGTGGCTGAATGAATGACTCTGGAGCTGGATATAAAGCAGGCATCAGTGGGAGAGAGTTAATGGAATTTCATGGTTATGCACTGTTTTGAAAGTTAATTGAAGGCAGATACTTGTTTTTCCAACCTGGAAAAATAACCAAATAACTGACAGTAAATAGCAGAAGAATTTGGCAAGCCTTTTCCTTGATAGATGTTATGTAGGCTAACCATTTCTCCATTCTATTTTCTGCCAAGTACAGGACATCAAAATCAGTGACTGTCACAACTGCCAAAACAATAACAATTACACTACAGCAATGGTGACAAAAAGAGCTTATTGTAATTATACCAAATCTGTTCTGACTTACTCATGCCCATTTCACATTTGCATCAGAATATCTTAGGGCAAGGTCTGCTTTATTGGGTGGAGAGAATATAATTTTCTTTCTGACTGGTGCAGGAAACACATTGCCGAAAACCGACTCAGAGATGCTAAACTTTTCATTAAGAAAAGGTTTTAATACTGCACCCTGTATGAGGCAACCCCATGCCAAATCACTCTTCCTGGAGCTACTTACTCAGAGGACAGATGAAGTTGGGAGGAAGATATTACACTGAACAGCATCTCCAGCAACTGGTTTCTGAGCCAGATTGTCTTTCCAGATGTTTGGCTTCCAGCTACAAAATAAGGAAATTCAGATTTGAGGGAAAACGGATGTAAAGAGACATACTATTTGCTGCAGTAAGCAATCGTATTCACCAAACGCTTCGCTCACCCAGGAACTGGGGCATGGATGGGACTCAAAAGTTTGGCATTCAGTTCTAGACTTCCATACAATGCTTAAAAAGAATTTCAGGAAATGTTCCTAAAGTTCCCTTTAACTGGAGATGATTTTGATGCTTCCCATCCACATCCCCCAGAAAATCCTAAAAATAACAAGGTCAAATTTATCTTCCGATAGAAGAATTTTTTTTCACTATCATAGGCTGCAACATTTTGCACCTATTGACCGCCAACTGTGTGCTGGGCATTATGGGAGACACTGGGAGCAGAGTGGGGAAGATTTTAGTCCTCAATCTCAATTCCTGCTCTCAGTGTGTTTCCCGGCTAAATCTTCAGCCTATCAACGTTGCACTAAAAATAGAGCTAGCACTGTAGAGATCAGAATGAAGTCCATATTAGAAGAAGGGCTGACTGAATAAGCTGACTTTTGGGCCATTATCCATTCATTCATCCCCTTGGTTAACCAGTTATTTTACAACCAATTCCGGGCACATGAATGCAGAAATAGGACTGATGTGGCAGCTTGGAGAAGTGGAGTCAGATTTCTCTCTATTTGGATTCTGGCCCCAAGAGTCTTATCTCTCTGAGCCTCTGTTTCCTCATCTGCAAAATGGGAATAGTAATATCTACTATTCAGGTTTGACCTAAAGATAAGAGATCATTTTTCTAGACTAAGTAACAGTGTCCAATAGAATCTTTTTCAACGTTAAGAGTGTTTTATATCTCCCCTGTACAATACAGTAGCCACTAGACTCATGTGGTTATCGAGCAGTTGGAATGGAGCTGGTGTAACTGAGGAACTGAAATTTTAATTGTATTTAATTTCTACCAATTTAAATTTAAATGTAAACGGCCACATGTAGCTCAAGGCCCCCCTCTTGGACAGCACGGACCTGTAGGGCCCAGGACCAAGTTCCATCACACCTGCACTAGCAGAGAGAACATGACATAGCCGCTGTTCTGCACCTGGTTGCGAGGAGAGAAACTCAGAGAAACAAATCACTAACCTGTGCATTAGAGTAAGCCCAAGGACTTTAGAAGCACAGAGGAGGTGATCTAACCTGGTTTGGTGCGACCAGGAATGGTTGGTTAGTCCAGTGGGCAAAGCAGGGAGAGTGGTGGGTGACGGCAGGCATTTCTGCCAAGGGAGTGACACACACAAAGCATGGCCGGAGGGCAGTCCATCACATATTAGGATCTGCAGGTGCTCAGAGTGCTGAAGCTGGGGCTCATCAGAGGAGCAGGGGTAGGAAAGACTCAATCAAGAAGGCGAGCAGGAACTGGGTCATGAAGGATCCCACTTGTTGGCCTGTAGGGAACTGAGCTTTATCCTGGAGGCCTTAGAAGCTCTTCCAGGTTGTGAAGGAAGAATATGCAATTTGATTTGACTGTAACCCTACTCATAAAACTATGACCTCACAAAGCCACTACTTGGGAACAGCTGCTTAGTTGTGGGCACCTTCCCCTTCCTTTGCCTCAGCCCTTCCCTCTACAAAATGGGCCCATGACAGATGGCTCTCAGTGGTGCCATGAGGGCCATCCTGCTGCTTTCAGACTGGTGTCTAAGAAAGGTCTCCTCACCAGGCACTGAGGAGTCCAGGCCTCCATCCACGCAGATCTGCCTCTCATTCACCGAAGAAGGCTTGAGGGTGTACACGACAAACAGTCCAATCCTTAATGCAGAGAGAGGAGGATAAGTTCAATGGCGATCTCAACCCATATCTGCTCAACACATAGGGGGGTTTTGTGCACAGATCTCCCCAAACTGGTTTCAAGGGAGGGTTTAAGGGAAATCAAATTATTCCATGATCAATGTAGTGTTTCCAGAGACTTCTAAAATCTGCCATCAGAGCAGTTAACTCTGGCTCTGCCTGATCAACATTAACAGATAGCGATGAGGAAGGAAAAGGCTAAGTACCATGCTGACTGGGACTGTCCTTGGGGAAGTCTGCAAAAAGCAGACCTGATGGGTCAATCAATGGCTGATGACAATGACTGTGCTCATAGAAATTCTTGAATTCTTGGCGTAGCAAGTGCGTCCGGGCACCAGGGAGCAGTGAGCACATAGCCCTGCTGGGAGTCTAACAGACTCACCCCTTTTCTCAACTCTCTGCCCTAAAAAGCACCTCTAGAAGGTTCCAAGGAAATGGAACCTGCCACTGCACTGAAGGGTAGTGTTGCTGGGTCGAGTGTGGTCAGGAGAGAGCCGAGGCCTGTATTCCCTTGTGAAATAGTCCCAAGACTCTGCCCTTCCCCCTGGGATGCCTGGCACCGTACCTGAGCAGGTCCTGGATGCTGGAGTAGCCCCTCAGCTGACAGCCTAGGATGGCAATGATGGTGGGGATCTTGGAGCAGGTGAGGCCTGGCTCATTGAAGAGGAAGACGAGCTTGGGGATAAGCTGAGCCTGGTGAGCAACTTCAGCATTCCGGGGTCCTTCCCTGGTGAGCCCGGGAGAAAGGCAGTAAAAGCTTTTACTGGAATGAACCAAATTTGCTGTGTTTCTGCTAAAAAGGTTTCCCAGGCTGGGCTCACTCCATGGCCCTCTGACTCCAATGCTCTCTCGGCAACTCATCAAAATGCTGCCAGACACCCATTGAATATGTGTCTGCCAAATGCCCGAGTTGCTCAGGGATGAGCCTCTCATGCCCTTCCACCCCCCGCCCCGAAATTGCCTTCAAAGACAACCCCCAGTTATTGACTTTTAAATTCCAAGCCTCAGGGAAAACTAATGCTGGTCTCAGAAAACTCAGAACAAAGGCAGCAGACTCGCTTGCGACCGCGAAGCACTTCCCAACAGCCAGGAGCGAGGGGCCCTTGGCGAGTCTGTCTGGGGTGTGTGCTCTTCCTGCCCGCCCCAAACCACAAAGTGGATGAACACGCCACTGAGAGTCAAAGGGGAAAAAAGACAGAATTCAAGCATCCACATCCCCCTTCTTAGGATAATCACAAATTCAATTTCCAGTAAATTCTACTCAACCAAAGGAAACAGCTCCCAGGATAAATGTCCACCTTTTAGAAAACAACAAGTACAGAAAGAAAGTGGGAAAGGAAAACAAAGGTGAAGGAAGGTGAATTTGGGTGGATTGCTCCTTCTTGAACTGCCTTTTCTATACTAATAGGACAAATTCTGCTGACCTCCACATCCCTGATACAGAGGCAGAACAGTTCCGTGTGTGGTTTGTATGCATCAGCCTAACAGGGAAGATGTGCGTTCATCCACCTATAAGCTCTCACTGTGTTTTGTGGTCTTTCTTATCATAGCACTAAGCAGCCTGTTTTTCCGTATGCCTTCTCCACAGGACTGTCTTGTTCCTCCGAACTTCCAGCCCCAAGGTGCTGCCAGCTGGCCGGCCATCTTGCTGTCTCCCCAAATGAAGCCAACAGGGAAGAAAGTATGGACAAGACAGGCGACAGGTCTCAGATGAAGTAGTGCGAGTGCCACCCAGCCACATGTCAAGATCAGCCCCGTTCCAATGTATGAGCCAATAAATCCCCCTTTCTCAATCTTCCGTTTGCCCTCCCTCCTCCCTTCCTTTTCCCCTCCCTCCCTTCCTTCCTCAAGTTGGTTTGAGTTGTATTTCTGCCACTTGCAACTAAAAGTGCCCTGAATGTTTTAAAAAGTGACTTGGAGAAGTCATTTAGAGGGAGAGTGGGTTGGAAGGCAAACAGGACTCAGAGAAGTGTCTGCCTTTGCTGGCCACATATACTGAGCCCCTGAGAGGCTGCTGGTTGCCAGAGCTAGGGAGTCCCCTCCTGAGGCCCAAATCCACTGGGGGAGACAGACTTGCCCCACATAAGTAAGCTACTGGGAAGGACATTGCAACAGACTGAATGCTCGTGTCCCCCCCAAAATTCGTGTGTTAAAACCTAACCATCATATTCAGAGATGTGGTCTTTGGGAGGTAAGCAGGTCATGAGTAGAGTCCTAGGGATGGAATTAGAACCTTTATAAAAGAGATGCCAGAGAGCTCCCTCGCCCCTCCCACCAGGTGACATTATAGTAAGAAGACTTCTATTAACCAGGAAGCGGGACCCTCCCCAGACACTGAATCTGCCAGTGATGTTAGACTTGATGTTAGATGTTAGACTTCCAGCCTCCAGAACTGTGAGGAATAAATGTCTATTGTTTATTCGGCACCCCGTCTATCATATTTTGCACAGCAGCCCAAACAGACCCAGACAGACATGCTGGGTCACCTGGGAGCCCAGTGGTCTGGAAAGGGGAAAAAGCTGTGGCTGCTGAGCCACTGGGTGTCCTGCCCCCTCAGTCCCCCTTCTTGGCATGAACCCATTAGTGCCAGACCCCACACTGCCAAAGCCCAGCCTACCTTGGTGATCGAAGGATTTCCACAAAATGGGAAAAGAGGGAGAGCTCCAGGTTGTCTGCGGAATTCATCCAGAGCTGGGGACAGCAAACACATAGTGAAACCAAGACAGTATAAGCAGCCCCAGAGCTTCTGAGGCTTGAAAACGCTAACACAATTTAGCTGCTCAGGAATCAGACCCGCTCTCCCGACACTGAGAACTTAGAAGTGCCTGTCCGAGGGAGAGCTCGAATGCCATTCCTCTGCTCCCCATCTTTGCTGCTGCCCATTGCTTCCGTGTGAGTCTGGACTTGAACCAAGGACACGTGCCCTAACCTATGTCTGGCCCTCAGTCCTGCTGCCCGTGTAGCCAACTGCAGCTCATTCTCGCTGGAGCCGACAAGGCAAAGACCAGTCTTCCCAAGTTAGAGATGAGACAACAGAGGCTAAGTGAGACCAGTTGAGTGACAGGACCCACGTGCCACCGGCAAGCTGTAGGACTGGAGTTAGAAGCTGAGTCTTGGCTGTCTGGTTTTACACTCCAGCGGCCATGGGCCCAACTTATGCATGCATCTCTTTCTTCCCTTCTTTCCTCCATAAATCCTGCAGCACGGCCCACACCCTCCCTGATAGAACAGCACTGCGAGCTGCGCACCAAGGGGAAATGCACTGTGATTCTGACAGTGAACTTTATAACTCAGGCCGTTTTCCTTCACAGTAAACAAAGTGCGGCGACTAACCATCCTTCTGGGGCACAGGTGATGGCGCGCCTTCATGTCTCGTGCCCATTTCCTTTTAGAGAGTGCTACTATTTCTTATTTCTAAATCCTGACATTTCCCAGGGCCCAGGGTTGAGAAGGTTCTGACATGATATTGCAAGAATGCATTCACAGAGCAGCAGAAAAAGCTCACACTTCTAAATGAGGCCATGTTCTAGAGGCAAGAAGTGCCCTATAGAGTCCTAAAATGATATCATCATCTGCATTTAGTAGCTATGAAGAGTGAAGACTCAGAGAGACTAAGTAACTTGCCTGGCACCCCATAGTTTCTAATTGGCAGAGGCTGGCTTCAGAGCCTGGTCTGTCTGACCATGGAGCCCACTCTCTTGTCTCCTCCTCCCTGTGCTCCCCCCAGGCATCTCCTGCAGACAGTGACCCCTAGGGTCAGTAATTGACCTCACTTGAAAAGGCATGTGGCCTTGGCTCCAACCTCTTGCTTAAGAGTGAAAGCAAAAGAGCCTCAGAGGACCCAAGTTTATGAGGAGGCCCATGAAGGCAGCGACCACCCCTCTCCAGTCCCCAAGGCCCAGCACCACACATGCCACATAATGGGCACTTAATAAGCATCCATTAAAATTTTTTTAATGTTTTATTTATTTCTGACAGAGAGAGAGAGAGAAAGAGGACGTGAGCCGGGGAGGGTCAGAGAGAAAGGGAGATACAGAATCTGAAGACAGGCTCCAGGTTCTGAGCTAGCTGTCAGCACAGAGCCCGACGCGGGGCTTGAACACACAAACCGTGAGATCATGACCTGAGCCAAAGTCGGATGCTTAACCGACTGAGCCACCCAGGCGTCCCAGATCCATTAAATTCTTTAAAAGAGGGAATGCAAGGTAAATCAAGGTAAAATATGTGGATTGCTCTTAAGCCAGAAACGCACTAACAGATTTCCAGCCCCTATTTCACAGCCACTGCCTGGCACACGCAGAGCAGGGCAGCTGCCATTTGGGAGAGCTGGTGAGGGCTGATGTGGCCCCAATAGGGGTGGGGGTAGGCAGACATGGCACCCCAACATGCAAGTCTGTGCGAGTCCAAGAGCCTAAACGCTTGGAATAGTCACTCGTGAAGACAGTTGCTGAACAAATGTTACGCCAGCTTCAGTGTCGGGAGCCAGGAGAACTGAGGAAGTCTAAGACTGAACCTAACAATTTGTGTGTTCCTGAGCCCTTACCTTTCTCACAGAAGCACATCCCTGTTTCTCTTCCAGAGCACTGGAACAGTAAAAAGCTGCCATTTGAGGCTCCCTGGCTCTTTAGAAATTACATAATAGCAAGTACCTGAATTTTGGGAATCATGGATAATTGAATGTTGGTTGTTATCCTGTGTCACTTAACCCCTGTACTGAGGACTGCACTGAGATGTCTGGATTAGATTTCTTTGCACATCAGATGGAGATTCTCAAATTCTGCCCTCTCCCCAATCCCTGGGACCATCTCACTCTCAGAATGAGCTGGCCTGTCCCTTTTTCAAGGAACCCAAAGCTTCAACTTCCTGTCTCTCCCCTGCTTCCCAACTTCCTGTCTCTCCCCTGCTTCTCAACTTCCTGTCTCCCTCCTCTCTCTCAACTATCTGTCCCAATCACTATGCATGGATCCCACCATTTCTCTTGTAGCTCACTCTCTTGTCTCTAAACCTTCCCTCTCCTTTAAAGATTTGTCCCATCGATAGTGTTTCTCTCACTGGTGTTTTTAACCATCCTTTTCCACTGCTTCCTCCTCCTCAGCCTACAACCAGACTCAAGTCCCTTACCTTAAGTCTTGAAATTTCCTTCTATTCTCTTCTCCTTTCTTCTTCAAAACCTCACTGACTATCTTGACTTCTATCGTCCTCTCTTCACCTTACTTATGACCCCACAATCTACCTTTCACCAGGCCAGTCAGTGACCCTCAATTGATCTCCAAGTGACTTCCAAATTTTACACAATCTTACAAATTACAAAATCGACCATTTATACATCCTTGCCCTTACTTTAGTTGATGTAGGCAGACATTTGTGAAAGTTCTCTTCTTTTGGAAATTTCCTCCTCCTAATCTTAAAATTTTATTTTATTTCATTTTGTTTTACTTTTCTATTTTTTTAGCTTCTAGTTGTTATGGGTTGCTTATTTTCTTAACTCCAGCTTTAAAAGCACCAGCTTACTTAAGAGTTTACTCAGAGAAGCATGGGGTGGGGCCCATGGTCATTCCAGGAGCAGGCAGTGGGAGGGTGGTGGGTGCCTCCATTGGTAATTTGTGGGTGGGCTGCTGACAGCAATGCTTTGGAGCCAAGCTGCCTGAGCACAGCCAGCATTCTGGAAGGTACAGGTGTGCAGTCAAGGCATGCTGTCTTGTTTATCAGTGCAGTGAGGCCATTTATGCATATCTCCTTTCCTTTTGTGCACAGGGAGCTTATATTTCATGTCTGCCTGGCTTTCTCTACAACCCTTTCATCCAGCCTTAGATCCAGATCCAGGGCCTGGTTCAATTAGCTAATATTTTATTTAGGATTTTTGTACCTATATTTATGAATAAGATTGGCCTGTATTTTTTCATTTCCCATACTGTCTTTTTTTTTTTTTCTTTCTTTTTTTTTTTTTTTGTTTTGGTTCTGCAATCAAGATTAGCTCATAAAATAATCTGGGAGAGCTCCCTTTCCAGTTTCTTGGAAGAGTTTATAAGGTTGCAATGGCCTGTTTCCTGACAGGTAGAACTTCCCTATAGAAACCCTGGGCCTGGACTTGCCTTGTGGATGTTGTTTACTTGTAAGATTTTAAACTTGTGATTCTGTTGTTTGATGCTTATGGGGCCATTTGAGTTTTCATCTCTTTTTGAGTGAATTTTGAAAACAAATTTTCTTGGAGATTGTTCAAATGAGCTAAGTGTTCACATTTATTGGCACAAAGTGGCCAATCTTATTTTCTTACCTTTCTAATTGCACATTCCTCTGTGGTTATTCTTCCCTTTCCTTCCTAATATTATTTAGTTGTGCCTCCCCTTTCCTCCTCCCTTCCCCACCTTGGCCAATCCCAACAAGTTCATGTTACGAGAACCAGTTATGGGCCTTGCTGATCCTTTCTATGTTTGTTTCTTTCCTAATTCATGTTCTCATCTCTTTGGTCCTTCCTTCTTCCTCTGAATTTTATTTTTGTTTGTTTTTTTGTTTAAGGTTTCTGTGTGTTTCTTTTTGTTTGGTCATTCTAACTTCTTGATCTAAAGGTTCTGTTCATTACTTTCAAATTGTTCTTTATTCCAATATATACATTGACATTTATAATTTTTTCTCTAAATCCAGCTTTCAGCAGCATCCCACAAAATGCACTGTTCTTTTTTATACCATGTTATACACAGTATTCTTTCATTCAGTTCTATATCACTTCTAATACAAATAAGGAGCTTCATTAATCCCCCTCTTTATCCCACAGCCTTTGCCAAAATTCGGGTTTCAAAATTTTTCACCTGGATGTCTGTAGCAATCTCATGACCCACTCTCCCTACCTTGGGCTTCTGCCACCAAAGTAATAGGCCTAAAATAAAATTCTGTCGTGTGATATTTTAATTAACATCTTTGGTTACCAGCAACTTAGCAAATTGTATCAACAGTCTAAAAATTGAGGGGCGCCTGGATGGCTTAGTCGGTTAAGCGTCTGACTTTCGCTTAGGTCATGATCTCGCAGTTCGTGGGTTCGAACCCCGCATCGGGCTCTGTGCTGACTGCCAGCTCAGAGCCTGGAGCCTGTTTCAGTCTGTGACTCCCTCTCTCTCTGACCCTCCCCTGCTCACGCTGTCTCTCTCTCTCTCCTAGAAATAAATAAAAATATATATATATTTAAAAAAAATAAAAAAAATAAAAATTGTTTATAAAGCCTTTATCCTTATAATTCAACTTTGATCATTTACTCAAAGGAAATAGTTTTTAAAGCAAGGAAAATGTATGTACAAAAGTGCCATCTATAAAAAACAGTGTCATCTATAATAACATGAATTTATATATGAGTAACATAGCAGAATAATCTAAGACTAACAATAGGGGATACTGAAGAATCCAGGAACTTGCTATAAGAGACATTATTCTGATTCAGAACAATACTTGCAAAAGTACATAATAAATATTTTTCAATGTGACGTTCATATCTTTAACAAGCATTATTGGTGAGGGTCGTTGAAGGAGTAATGATGGAGTTGAAGAACATTGCTAACGCACAGAGCTTGCTGGGAGCCTAAGAGATTAGGAAAGGGGCATGATGTGAGGGAGCAGACCTCCAGGTTGTGATTAGATGATCTCAGAAATGTTCTTTTGGACTTTCAGTGACTTGGTGTGCAGCAATGAAGTGCAGATCGTAGGGGATTTTCTAGTACTTGTGTGCTTCTAGATTTATTCCCTGGCCCCTCGTATGTTCCTCATCTTCCTTTGTCAAGATGTATTTCCTCCCCATTTTGCCTGTCCATGGCCCAGGGCTTATGTCTTTGCGACTGTCTGGTGCTTAGAGTCCCAGACTTTGGGAGATGAGCTATAGGTAGTATTGTCCCAGTCTGCCCATCTTGTAACAGGATATAATATTTACTCTTAACACAGGATCATTTGGAACAGGAGTTCTGAGGAGGAGAGAGTGAGGGTTCTGATTTGAGTGATGGTTTCTCCTCTAAGGGTGTAGGCTCCAGAGTGTCCTAATATTGTAAAATGTGAAAAGCAGACACATGGGACATTAGTCTTTCCCTTTTCATTAAAAGTGTGTTAACCAAAACCAAAAAAAAAAAGGGGGGGTGTGGAAGAGTCCATAATAAATGCTTTTAATGCCCATACTATGTGAAAAAGGCAGGACTTAAAATAATATCTACACTATGATCAGGACTATGATATAAAAATATGTATATCGTGCATAGGAAGTATAAAAAAGCAATGCCTTAAAAATTGGCAACAGTCGTCTGGGTCTCAGCAACAGGAGCGTTCCCCCTCCCCTACTTTTCTGTAATTTTAAGTATTCTACAATAAGGATGTCATTTTTTTTAGATTAAAAATATCCATTTTTAAAATACTTCCACAGACTCCAGCATGGATTGCCTAAAGCGCATATCCTTGCAGCCCAGCCTCTCCAGCCTGTCTTGTGTCCCCCTCCAGTCTCACCTCTCCCTGTGACAAATAAAAGTCTCCCTGCAGACTCTGTCCAAGCCACCTGCTCTCAAAGCCCTGTGGTTGTTCTCATCCCTCCTGTGTGCAAATAGCAGCGTACACTCCACCTGGACGTTCCCCACTGAATGCACTCTGCCAGACTCGGCCCCAGAGTCCCTGATCGGGAAACCTGATTGGCTGTGCTCTCATGCCACTCCCCAGATGCCCTGTGCCTGTCTCTCAGTGGCACCTAGCACATAGCACATCGTAGTGTCAACAGGGTCCTGACCTGGGCCCAGACAGCTGTGTGAAGAGGCCGGATCCTGGTTATCACCAAGTCTCCAGAACATGGCTAATGCCTGACCCCAGTGGGCACTTAGTAAATGGCGCTTTGAGAATGGAGCATTCCACCCAAAGTTCTGTGAAGGCCTCCTCACTTAGCCTCAGGTCTGCTCTTAGGGTCTCTCAGCCAGCCCTTTCAAAGAACATCCGTCAACAGTGAAGCACCATTCAAAGGAACTGGGATATAAGTTTTTTAAACCTACAGTTTTAAGATCTCTTCTCAGATACTATCTGGTTTGACCCCCACACTGGCCTGTGAGGGAGAGATGATAGTTCCCCTTTCACACACTAGAAGACTAGAACTCAGAGATATCAAGAGACTTTCCCAAGGCCACAAAGCCCATTTGTGGTAGGATTTAATTAGAAATGAGGCTCCTCTGGGCACCAAAGCCTTTAAGGTTTTCCTTCTCACGACCCGACCCTCATGACTATTGAGAAAGCCAAGCAGCTGAGTGTAGAGGAAGCCCCAGACTTTCTTTACTGTCACACACACCCACTCCTTCAGGGCTAATGACCAACCTCCAGTTTACCTCAAAATTGCAGAGGATGTGTTGAAAGACACCAACATTGGTGACAACAGATGACCCGAAGCCCAGTTCTGCAGTGCCAGCAATGGAGAGGATGAGCTGAAAACTCCGATGGTTTAGGAGAGCAGTCTTTTTCCTCAGGAGAAAAGCCATTATCTGAAAAAGTTTACAAAGCAGTTTGCTCATGAGTGCATCACTAGAACCCCTTTCTCCTTCACCTGCTTGTTCCCACCAGCACGTGCGGTGAGCCTGGGCTGAAGGCCCTCTGCTCTCTGGTGCTGCCTCCCTCGTCCCCATGTTCCCAGAAGAAAAATACACACCAACTTCGGGGGCTGCTTCCCCACTGGTGTCCACTTTTCTACTTGTGTGACTTGACCTCTCACTAGGGACCCCCTGCTTCTTCCTGAAATTCTATCCCCCGCCATGTTTCCAGAATGCTACTGTCTCTTGGTTTCCTCCTACATTTCTGTGTGTTCTTTCTCATTTTCCTTTACTGGATCCTGCGTTCATAGCCATCCCACAAATGTTGGTGTGTCACCAGGAAGCTACCACCTCCCCTTGAGCCCAGCTGCACCAACATCACTTCAGGCTGCAGCCACCCGATGGGCCTTTCTACTGTGCCACGCCCAGGAAAGCAGCAACATGCAACCTTGCATATGAGGACGGAGGTGCTGGGGTCCCTGTGGCCCACACCCATCTCAGAGACTAATGAGATGGATCCTACCTAACCCTGTGTCTCTGTGGACCTCAGTTATACAAAAGTCAGGCTGCCTAGTCATCTACTGGCATCTGGGTTCTCATTCACTCCATCCACAACTCAGTTCCCTAAGTTCCCTAAGCCTGGATCTGACACTGCCCAGCCCTGTCCTCCCAGACATCCTCTCCAAAGGAAGTCCTGCTTGCTGTTATAGACTGTACATTTGTGTCTTCCCCAAATTCATGTGTTGAAACCCTGTCCCTCAGGGAACTGTGATCTGGAGGTGGGTACTACGGGAGGTAATTAGGATTAGAGGGGTCATGAAGGCAGAGCCTCGTGGTGGGATTAGTGCCCTTGTTAAGAGTCACAAGAGAGCTCGCTTCCTCCCTCTGATCTCTCTCATGTGAGGACCAATGAGAAGTTGGCTATCTGCAATCCAGAGGAGGATGCTGGGGCCATGCTGGGACCCTGGTCTTGGACTTCCCAGCCTCCAGAATGCTGAGAAATAACTTTCTGTTGTTTATAAGACACCCACTCTTTGGTATTCTGTTAGAGCAGCCCAGCTGCTAAAGACACTTGTGATCAGTGAATACTTAATATCTTTCCAGATTGTTCCAGCCACTTCTTGGATATATCTGAAATCCGACCACTCCCCACTCCCCTACTAAGACATAATTAGGATGGCTGAAGGCTCCTTGGGAAAAATCACACATGCAGGCTGACTGGTTTCACTTTGCAGTAATAGTGTCAAATGCCAAAATAGTCCTCATTTGGCCTGGTGGTCAACTCTGATTTTCTAGTAAGCTGGTGTTCTTCATCGTAAAGATGAGAATTTCATCTCTTTTCCTCTCTTCCCAACCTTCTCTGTTGAGAAGACAGAACCCATCAGACACGAACACTCTCATCTGCCAACACCAGAACTACAGATGCCTGTGTTACATCTCTCTTGTCATAAGTAGGGTCTCCATCTGCAGGGCTTCTAGAACCCACCCCTCACCTCCTCGAGAACAAAGCTCCATGGGGTAGCTCTTCTTTCCTAGCTTCATCCGTCTCTCTCTTTCTCTCTTCTGTCATTTCCTCCCATCAACAAAAATGCTCTAGTATTTCTCACCTTGAAAAGAACCCTCCTTGGAGTGACTGGATGGCTCAATCAGTTAAGCTTCCGACTTTGGCTCAGGTCATGATCTCATGGGTTCCTGATCTCAGGTCATGATCTCATGGTTTGAGCCCCATGTCAAGGCTGTGTGCTGATGGCTCAGAGCCTAGAGCCTGCTTCGAGGATTCTGTGTCTCCCTCTATCTCTGCTCTTCCCCCATCCTACTCACTCACTCTCTCTCTCTCTCTCTCTCTCTCTCTCAAAACTAAATAAAAACCTTTAAATTTTTTTTAAAAAAAGAGCCCTCCTTTAAGTCCTAATCCTTCTAGTTTGGACTCCATTTCTCTACTCCTCTTCATAGGTCAACTTCTAGAAAGCATTAATAGGTACACTCTAGCCCCATGTCCTCACTTCACCCTCCATCTTCAACCCTCTTCAGATGGCTACTGGCTCTACCTGTCCATCCACCTTAGAAAGATCACCAGTGACTTCCAGGTGCCAAATCCAACAGGGACATCTCTGTCCTTATTTGCTTTGTTATTTGCAGCACTTAGCGTTGTTTGATCCCACCTGCCTTCTTGAAACACTGCCTTCTTTCAGATTCTTCAACAAAACTTTCTTCAGTTTCTCTCCCCTCTGCTTCTCAATCTCCTTTGTTGGGTTTTGATCATATTTCCAGCCTGTACGTGGCTAGCTCCTTATTGCTTTCTCCTCAGCTCTCTTCTCTTCTCTCCCTACTCCTTCTCTTTGGCCATTTCTTAAATGCTCTTGTGTGAAATATCATCATGATGGTATTGGTGACTCTCACATTTATACCTCTAGCCCAGCTTGCCCCTCTAAGCTCCAGAGCCATCTGTCCCACTCGACATTTGACCTCTGATGTCATACAGACATTTCAGATTTAGCATGTCCCAAATATCTTCTTTCCTTCCTGTGTTCAGCACTCTGGACACACAGCACAGGCTGCTGCTTTCCAGTGCTATCCACCCACACTTCCCACGAAGACCCCGACCCTTTCCAGGCCAGGAATGCAGTCTCATAGCAGGCTGGATTCTCTCTCAGTCCCCTGTTCAACTTTCACCCCTTTGACCTATCTTCCTTGTGGTTTCAAAGGTCATTCTAAAGCATGAATCTTTCATTCTCCCTGTTCCAAGCCTTCTTATGATTGCTCATCCCTTCCGAAATAAAACCCATGCCCCTTGGAGTAGCAGAGCTCTGGTAATTGTCTGTCTCTCCATCCGGGTTATTGTGTACTGGCCCATCATTGTCCTTCCTCCTCTCTGCATGGAGTCCCTGAACAGGATCCCTTAAGTGCTCTTAATGTTAGTCTGGAACACTGTCCTTCTTCCCCATGCTATGAAAATCCATCTTATAAAACTTGCCTGGATGCCACCTCATTTGAGAAGAGGATAATAGACAAGTTTTGACAGAAAAAACACAGAGAGAGGTTTATGCTTTCATGCTCTTAGGTCCAATCAGCAAACCAGCAAATGAATAGAGTAACAGTCTAAAAATGATTAAATTCACTCTTGAGCAAGCCATTTAATTGAAGACCCTCATTTGCATTCACAGATGCATTCCATAAAACCTCGTTGAGCACCTACTGCGTACCATACGCTCTCAGGGTGCACCAGTGAACAAGCAGACCCCATCCTGCTCTTATGGGACATCTACCTGGGACCTAGGGGCCGAAACAGACTACCGACATGACAAGTATATAAAGATCTTGGGCATGCAGGTTATGAAGAAACAGAAAATGAGAAAAGGTATCTAGAAAGAGATGAGATAGGATGGAGGTTTTCTTTATAAAGAGTGGTCAGAGAAGGCAAATAGTAATAGTAACAGTAGTCTTGTTTCTTTACTCAAACCTGCCATTTCCCACCTGCGCTACCACTGTACAGCCCTTCTTTCTGATATGCCTTGCAGACAAAATATTTGCAATATTTCTTTTGTAAGACATGAGAAGCATTTTAGATTTCCCTCTTCCATCTTCGTTTGTACAGGTACAAGAAATCTGTGAATCTGATGGGTTCTTTACTCAAATAAAGTCTTTGGGAATTTTTGTCTCACAAAAATATGCTTTTTTGTCCATCTTCTTAGACAGTGTTAACAGTGTGAATGCTTGTGTCCCCCCCAAAAAAGAAAACATTTATATGTTGAAACCCAATCCCCAATATGATGGAATTAGGAAGTGGAGCCTGTGAGAGGTGATTAGTCATGAGGATGGAGCCCTTATGAATGGGACTGGTGCCTTTGTAAACGAAACTGCGGACCAGGGTGTCTGGGTGGCTCAGTCAGCTGAGTGTTGAACTTCAGCTCAGGTTGTGATCTCAAAGTTTGTGAGTTCAAGCCCCACACTGAGCTTGCTACTGTCAGTCCAGAGCCTGCTTTGGATCCTCTGCCCCCTCTCTCTTTTCTTCCTCTGCTTGTGCATTCAAGCTCTCTCTATCTCTGTCTGTCTGTCTCTCTCTCTCTCTCCCCCTCTCAAAAATAAATAAAACTTTAAAAAAAAGACAGCACTACTCCTAAAATCATTATTGCACAATATGCTAACTAACTTGGATGTAACTTACAAAAAAAGAGATAGCAGAGAGCTCCCTTACCCCTCCCACCATGTGGGAACACAGTGAAAAGATGGCCATCTATGAACCAGGAAATGGCTTTCACCAGACACCAAATCTGCCAGTACCTTGATCTTAGACTTTCCACCTTATAGAACTATGACAATAACTTTCTGTTGTTTAGAAGCCACCAAGTCTATGGCATTTTTGCTATAACAGCCCAAGCCAATAGAGACAGATAATGAGTTCCACAGAGGGACTAAACCCATTTTATTCATCCATATTCCTGCTGCGTAGCACAGTGCTAGCTCGTAGGAGCTGCTCAGTCAATGTGAACTGAGTAAACAGACTCCATCCATGGGCCACCTTCTCTTTACCACCTCTTTCTTCCTGAAACACTCAAGTAGCCCAGTCCCACATGGGAGGTTTGCTGCCTTTGTAGCTCTGTAGCACATTCTCTCTCTCCAGGCACTGTGTTCATATTACAAACACACATGGAGGATTCACAGTGCACCAGGCCCTATACTTAGCAGTGAGGAGGCCACAGTGGGTGTGAGTGAGGGTTCCAGGTCGCCATAAGCCCAGAGTTTCTGGGAAAATGGCTGAAGAACACCCAAGCCACAGAGAGCGCGGTAGGTAGTTCTGGGAGAGAACCTCAGACACTTGTTGCATTTAATTTATACTAAAGTTATTTTGGTGGTTGTCTTTTTTTATTCTTCTGGATAAACCCACAAGAGCAGAAACTGCTTTACACCTTTTTGGAAATGCTCACAATAATTACCAAAATCTCAAGCCATAGCAAATCTCTGTGTGCTAAAGTAGAACACATCCAACCACTACTGCTTTTAACAATATGATCAAAAAGAAAACCTTTAATATACCAAAAGCCCCAATTCTTGAGTTTTAATATAAACCTAGACATGTCCATTCACTTATTATTAAAATATGGATTGAGTATCTGTTTGGTCTTAGTAACAGCAAAGAATAAGAAACACCCAAGCCTTTAGACAATTACACAGATGTGCAGAGTCATCATTACAGTGCCGGGTAAGAGCTGTTAGACTGGGCACACGCACAGTGCTGAGGGCAGTCAAGAGATGGCCATACATTCACATTCAGATCAGAGTTTGGAGGAGAGACCCTCTTTGCCATCTGAGTTTGACCTGGGAAGATAAGAAGGTGTATACCTGAGGAAGAGAGGGAGATGGTACTCCAAGCCGAGGCCTCAAGTACACAAAGTAATATGATGTGGTTAGCAGTCCAGGACCATGCAGTATTCTGGGAGGAAAGTATGCTGGCTGGGCAGGAAATGGAGCTGGAAGTACAGGTTAGTGGCTGGTTTTTAAAAAGTCTTTAGAATCCAATATAAGGAGTTTGGGATATTATATCCATGACCGGGTGCCTTTGAAAGGTTTGCACAAGAAAGAGGAATCATCAGGTCTGTAGTGTAGAACTGGGACTGGTATCAATGAGATTCAAGGGAGAAGCAGAAGGAATGGGCCATTGCCCAGCTGTGACAGCAATCTAAGAAAGAGGGGCTGTGCCTGAAGTGACACCACAAAGCTTCCTTCTTCTCAGGTTCTAACTTGGGGGCCAAAGAGACAAGGAGGCTCTTTCTTAGCCCTGTTGCACCCAGGAGGAACCACCATGACCCTTGTACCCCAGTGACCTTGTCTAGACTTTGACACTAGCTCTGCCCTTTGTGATTTCTTTCCAGCCATGCAAGAAGGTCCTATAGGGTAATATACATGTCTTATGTGACTTTAATGATAATACGTAGCACTAAAAACCAGAGGCATTCTGAGCAGGTACTCTTCCAAACACTCAGCATATATTAATTCTCTTAATCATCACAACCCTACAAAATAAGTACTGTTATTATTCCCACCGTACACTTAGGGGAACTGAGGCACAAAGAGATTAAGAACTTTAACTCTCTTAAAGATGGCTGGCATGTACAGAGCCCTTATTCTGCGCAGACATAATTCTAAGCCCTCTGCTTGAATGAAGTCACCTCATCCCTCACTACAACCTCGTGATACAGGAGCTATGATAGTCCATATCATACAAGTGAGGAAACCGCGGCAAAGAGGGTAACTAACTCATCCAAGGGTAGATGGCAAGTTTGAGGAAGAGGTAGGATTCAAACCCGGCACCCTGGTTCCTCCAACTTGGCTCCTAACCATCATGTTAGGTGCAAAGTGGGTGGACCACAGTGATTCTTGAATTCATTGAAAGGTACAGATGTACAGATGAACATCCTCATTCCAATCAGAGCTCCTCTCTGCCTGGCCATCCCTTGGCCTCCTGTACTGGTGACACTAGTCTCGAGACCCTTCCCTCTTGGCTTCCCTTCTCTAGAAGTTGCCATGGAGGAAAGGTCCACTAGGGCCAGTGAAGCTCTTCCCTGCTCCCTGGGAAGGACAGCCCCTTGGGAGGGTGGAATTACCTGGTACCCAGAGATGTGCTGCATCAGGCGGTCACACATGACATTGCTGGTCAGGACAGAGTGCAGGACTTTCACAGCTGCATACATGGTGTGGTCATCTGTCGCTAAGGAAATGAGGCCCAGGAGGATGGTGGGCCCACCAATGAAGTCTAGGCTGCTGGCTGCTGGGATGGAGTGAAACACCCTTACACCTGTGTGGGGCAAAGGGCATTCAATCAATAGACTGCAGCTTTGGGGTAATGGCGAGTCCCCTGGAAGCCTGTAAGGCAGCCAGTGCCACTGTCCACTCATAGCAGAGGCATCCAGGCACATGGGACAGGCTAGGAGGAAGGAGGCAAGGTTTAAAAGTCCTAGCTCACTGAGAGATCCTGCACTGAGTTCTTCCTGGGTCACCAGAAGGCTGAAACAGCCTGGGGGACTTCAGATCACCATCTCTGTCTCAGTCCAGAGTCCTGGACTAGCCACATGCCCTCCGAGCCTCAGTCCCCCAGTCACTCTGACCACGTCTGGCTCTCGCCTGCTCTCCAGATCCTGTGAGATTGGGCCTTCGCTACTCCCCTGCTTTGCTCTTGGCAACCCATAGTAACTGGCTGTTGTTTTGACCCAAACAACCGCAACCACTGCTTCTGTCAAAAGTCCCACTAGTTAGGCTCTATTGTGCATAGACGCCAGCCTCGTTAGTAGCTGAGTCCACTAGCACCTTCCCGATGCAGCAAGGTGAACCGGCTTCTAGGTGATGTGGAAGGCCAACTCTGACAGGGCTGACTCGCCAACTCTCATCCTCACCGGAGAGCCACTCAGACTTCCAGGCTGTGCGAGCAATGACAGCCACGCACACACATCTTCCCAAATAGTAGTAAAAGCGCACGGCCTGACTTACCTAAGTGGCCCACAGCCACGGCTCCAATGGTTCGAAGGGAACCCGACAGGTGGCCAGCACAATTTCTTAGCAAGAACACAGGCATGGCGTTGTCACGGGATGAAATGTTCATCTAGAGAAATTGGCAACAATTAGTCCCAAGAAACTTTCCTGAAACGGAAGCGGTTTTGTTCATGAGGTCCTGGAGGGGAGGTGTCCGAGGCCTGGTCCTGTGTTGGCACTCAGTAAGTGAAGGGGGGTGGATAAATAATAGATGAACCAAAGTTCAGGGAGACTGAAGCTAAGCTTCAGGTTCCTGTGTCCTGCCTTCCAGGCTGCGCTTTAATCATGTGGGAGTAGTTTGGTTATGCCGTTGTGCCAAAGGTATCCCACACATCACAGTGAAGGGCAAGGTGGGCCCAGGGACGTGTGGAGGTGGAACAGTGCCACGAAGGCCAGGCTGCCTCCTTCCCAGGCCACGTTGTCCAGGCTCTGCCCACCTTTGCCTCACTAGTCTCAGAGGGCCAGGCAGAGGGAATCTGGGGTACTCTGTGGGGAAGGCACAGCTATGTGCTCAACAAGCCCTAATCCCTGATCTCCCCCGTTTGGGAAGGGGGATGGCCTTCTGTTCATGAGGGTGGAGAGAATGTTAACACATCAGCTCAAGCTCCTCAGCATTCAGCAAAAGAGCACTCTATGCAGAACTTAGGAAATAGTTCATCTAACGGCGTCTTCATGGCATCTAATAGCGTGTCGGCTTGCTCTTCTGCAAGTTTGCTCTTTAAAATAAACATGGCAACCCACAGAACGATTTGCAGTGTTGGCAGTTGGGGGCGTGGTCAGCTGCATCCAGAAAAAGGGAAGCTCAATAGTGTTTTCAGTGTCACAAATGTTTTTCAAATTCCACTTGTTCTTGCTCTACAGTGAAGAATACAGAGCATCTACCTTCTCCTCTGAGCAATTATAAATGAAAGGTTCAGTCTTGGGGATGCTAATGGGTGAAGAGGCTTGTGATATTTTAACAAATGAGATGGGAAGCATGCCTGTGTGTATCTGTCTACACATGCACCAGTGTGAATCGGTGTTCACTTAAGTACTGAAAACTAAAGCACACTAGGAGATCATGATTCCCAAAGGGGCAGCAGGTGAAGGTGGAAGGTATACCTCCTTGGCAATCAGGCGGCTGTCCACCTCATTGTAAGTGTTTCTGATGTCTGTAACACTGGTGATGGACGAGCTGGCTATGTGAAGGCCAAAGGAAATCTTTTCCTCTGTAAGCAGGGGCGTCGCTTCTGTATCAAGGTCCTCTCCTAAAACAACACATCTTTGATCATCTCTCACGTTATGGAAAAGAAAGTTCAACTTTAGTAAGACAAATATCTATGGCTACATGATGAAGTCATCACTGAGAGACTATTTTATGTTTTTACATTGGATGTTTGTATGGTGTATGTTTATGTCACCTTTCCCCCGACCTGTGCTTCTCTGACACTTCTAGAAAACTGTGGAAAAATCTCATAAGATTAACCCTAATATAAAATAGAGGCATTCAAGGTGTGAAATCACTAGAGCTTGACACATCTACCAAGGATATGCTGTAACCTCACCCCCCAAAACCAAAATGCTAAGTGATAAGAAAGCTGACTTACAAAAAAAGAAATGAGGACACCAAGGTGGTTCAGTCAGTTAAATGTCTGGCTCTTGGTTTTGGCTGAGGTCATGATCTCATGGCTCATGGGATCAAGCCCTGCATCAGGCTCTGCAGAGCCTGCTTGGGAATGTCTCTCCCTTTCCCCCACTTGCTCTCTCTCTCTCTCCAAATAAAGAAATAAATATTTAAAACAAGAAAAGAAAAGAAATCAACTGGGCTGAAAGCCCTAAGATTTTCAATGAGCTACATGGCATGGACAACCTTTCACTTGGAATGAGCACCTTGGTCCCTGGGTCAAGAACCACACATACTCCTCGAGTGGCATGGTCTGAATAACCAGTCGGCAAAATTTTGGCTCTAGACCTGACCTCATCGCATGGCTCTGGCCAGTGCCATTTGCCAGAGGAAATGGAAGCTTGAAGAAGACATGGGGCCTGGAGACAGAAACACTCAACAGTGCTCAGTCGCCCTTCACAATGCACAAGGCTTCTGTACATAAATTCATTCATCATTCTTTCCAGATGGGAGCTGACCCCCTTGACTTGACAGAGCACAAAGAGCAGTACTCCCTGCTTGAACAGGCAGCAATCAATAATGAAAATGTGGATGTGTTTGTCTGCCTGTTTAATAATTGAAGATAACAGTATGCTTTAGTTAAAAAGCTTCTTCATTAAAAGGAATGTAACTTATTTATCTCATTCTCTTCTCTCTTTCTTTGCTGATGGTACTGCCTATCTATTCTCCTTCATTGTGTGCTTCGGAGTTCCATTTGTGCTTTAGACAAAATTTAAAGGATATTGTCATTTCCTTTTCTGTGACATTTTCTGTTGGGTTGTAAATTTATAATGATTCAATTACAGAGGTCTTCCCTAATGACTGACCTACACTGAGTTTATTCTTTATAAATAAGCTATAAATAACTGGATGTCCATTTAAAAAAAATACTATCAGCAAGATCATGATACATCAAAACACTCCATACCTTGGGCATGCACAGCTTGGAAGTTGCCACAATATCTTGGGCCAAGTTTGTTAATAACTTCCAGAGTGTCCATCGAGATGGCTTCTTCAAAGAGGTATGTAGGTCCAAGACGCCATATTAATGATGACTTTTGTTTCCAAACTCGAGGGGTAGAGATATAGCCATAAACATCCACAAATGAAGATGGATCCATTGAAAGGAAAGTCCCTGGCAAGGCCTGAATATACAACATCTGTCAAAATTGAAAGGTAGAAAGAGAGAGATTTAACCTCAAATTAATCAAATAAACACCTATGGAGATAAAATGATATACCTTATTCTCTCAAAGTACAAGCTTATTTTATCTACAAACATTAAAAAGTTCACTCTCAAAGCTGAAAAAAATGCAGTAAAACCGCTCACAAAATGCTAGTGGGAGTGAAAAACTGACACTATGCCTTTGGAGACAAATTTAATAAGGAATATTAAGAGCCACTAAAATGTTTATCTTTTTTATTCCAGCCATTCCACTAAATGTCCAGTATTGGCACATCCATTAAGTTTTATGTACTAAAATAATTACAGGCATATCCAATTGGAAAGGAAGAAATAAAATTATCTCTATTTGCAGATGACATGTCCATGTGGGAAATTCCAAGGAATCTACAAAACAAAAATGCCTAGAACTAATAAGCAAGTTCAGCGAGGTCACAGGACAGATGATCAACACACAAAAATCAATCACATTCTACAGGTCAACAACAAGCATTCAGAAACTAAGATTAAAGGGGTGCCTGGGTGGCTTAGTCGGTTGAGTGTCCGACTTTCACTTCAGTCATGATCTCACGGTTCGTGGGTTCGAGCCCCACGTCGGGCTCTGTGCTGACTGCCAGCTCAGAGCCTGGAGCCTGTTTCAGTCTGTGACTCCCTCTCTCTCTGACCCTTCCCGGCTCACACTGTCTCTCTCTCTCCCTCTCTCCTAGAAATAAATAAAACATTAAAAAAAATAATAATAAAACAATAAAATTAAAAACACTATCATTTAGGGGCACCTGGGTGGTTCAGTCGGTTAAGCGTCTTGACTTCAGCTCAGGGCATGATCTTGCGGTTCGTGAGTTCAAGCACTGCATCAGGCTCTGTGTTAACAGCTCAGAGCCTGGAGCCTGCTTGGGATTCTGTGTCTCCCTCTCTCCCTGCCCCTCCCCTACTCATGCTCTGTCTCTGTCTCTCTCAAAATTAAATATTAAAAAAAATTTTAAATACTATCATTTACAATTGCTCAAAAGAAAATAAAATATCTAATAAAACATGTATGAATTCCATATGGTAAAAATTCAGAAAGGATGATGAAAGAAATCAAAGGAGACCTATATAAATGGAGAGACATACCATGTTTCTCGATGGCAAAACTCAACATAGCAAAAATATCATTTCTCCTCATAATGATCTATAGATTTAAAGCAGTTCCTGTCAAAATGTCAGAAGGTCTTTTGTAGACACAGACAAGTTAATTCTAAAATTTATATTTGAAGACAAGCTTAAACAAATAGCTTAGTTCTTTTTTTTCAAAACAGAAGAATGTTTGTATCATTTTTTGAAAGAGAAGAATTAAGTGGGAGGCACAGCTCTACCAATATTATTACACAGCTTACCTTATTACATAGCTATAAGAATTAAGATAGTGTGGTGTTGGTAGAGCTATTGGTATAGGCTCTTTTGGTAGAGTCACATAGATCAGTAGAACAGAATATAGAATCTGGAAATAAACCCTTACAAATGTGCCCCACTGATTTTTTTTTCACATTTATTTATTTTTGAGAGACAGAGTGAGACAGAGCATGAGCGGGGGAGGAGCAGAGAGAGAAGGAGACACAGAATCCAAAACAGGCTCCAGGCTCTGAGCAAGCATTCAGCACAGAGACTGATGTGGGGCTCAAACTCACGAACCATGAGATCATGACCGGAGCCAAAGTTGGATGCTCAACCGACTGAGCCACTCAAGCACCCCACCCCACTGATTTTTGATGAGGTCTCAGAAGCAATTCACTGGAAGAAGGCTAGCCTCTTTGACCAATGTTGCTGGAACAACTAGACATCCACAAAGAAATGAACTTCAACCTAAACGTCACACCTCCTACAAAAGCCAACTCACGATAGATCACGAACTTAAATGTAAATCTAAAAAACTTCTACAAAAAAAAAAACAGAAGAAAATCTTCAGGATCTAGGTCTAGGCAAAAGTTCCTAGAGTTGACACCAAAAGCCTGAGTTATAAGAGGAAAATCTGATGAAAATTTGATGAATGCTTCATCAAACTAAAAACTTTAGTTCTGCAAATTCCTATGCAAAAGAAGATGGAAGACAAGTTACAGACTAGGAGAAATTCTTTGCAAATCACACATCAAAGGACTAATATCTAGAATATATAGAAAATCCCTAAAACTCCAGAGGAAAAAAACAATCCAATTAGAAAATGGATACAGGACGTGCAAAGACATCACTTAAGAGGTTATACAGATGGCAAATAAGTGCTTGAGAAGGGTTTTAATCTCAGTAGCCAGTAAAAAAGTGCAAATTAAAACCACAGTATCACTACACACCTATCAGAGTGGCTAATGTGAAAACCGGTGACCCTTGCAAATACAGAGAAACTGGATTATTCATCTATCACTGGGGGGAGATGTGAAACGGTACAGTCACTCTGGGAAAACGATTTGGCTGTTTCTTATAAAAAGTAAACACACAATACTCTATGGCCCAGCAGTTGAACTCTTAGGCATTGATCCCAGAGAAATGCAGACTTGAATTCATACAAAATCCTGTAGGGGAAAAATAGGTAAAAGGTACACAGGGTTCCTTGCTATTGTTTCTTACAACAACATTTTAGTTTATAATTATATCAATAAAAATTTCAATAAAAGAAAAGAAAAATAGTTAACAGAGTATCACAAATTTTAAAATGATAATTTCTCTTTTTAATTTTTTTGTTTTTTAATATTTATTTATATTTGAGAGAGAGACAGAGCATGAGTTGGGGAGGGGCAGAGAAAGAGGGAGACAAAGATCCCAAGCAGAATCCAGGCTCTGAGCTGTCAGCACGACGTGGGACTCAAACTCACAAGCCATGAGATCATGACCTGAGCCAAAGTTGGCCCTTAACTGACCTAGCCACCCAGGCACCCCTAAAATGATAATTTCAAAGCTTAGGTCAGTATAGACTTTTTAACTAATAGTTAAAATTAACTAAATAATATAAAACATTTGCTATACAATAAAGTTGCAACTACTTTTTTAAAGGGAAAAAACTGAAAGAAATTACAAACTATGTTTAAGATAGAAAGAATGCAGGCATTTTTTTCTTCTTTGCTCTATTTTTAAGTTATTTCAAAATGTGTTTATATTACTTTTTATAATGACTATAAAGTCACCATATCCATACTTATGTATATAAATATATATATTTTTCAAATGAGAGGTCACATAATTTCAGAAGTATTATTTTATTCCCTACCCAATTAAATGAGTCTTTCAAACAAAAACAAACCAGGTTTTCAGTCACCAGCCCTGCCTAGAGTAAAGTCCACTGTGCTGCTCTCTGTCTCCTTTCCCCTCTCTCAGGTAGGGACTTCTCTCTCTCCCCCCTCAAGCTCTGCCCCACCCCTGCAATCCAGCTTGCCTTTTCTCCCAAATTCCTAGTGCATTTACTCACAGCACCATTCCAATTGATTTACAAACATAAGATGTCTTAAATTGCTCGTTTTGCTCAATTCAGGCTATTGAAATACTCCCCACATTTCTAAATTTAACTTAGCTTACCTTGGAAATTAAAATAAAGGCTCTAACATTAGAGAACTGTCCTTAAGCTGGGTCATCCCTAACCTAAGGTCTCTCATCTTATTCCCAGCAGATGTCTGCATCTAAACACAGGCCTTCATGTTTACCCAAGTTGAATTTCATTTGCTGATCCTGAACCAACTTGTTGAGATCATCTTGGAAAGTCAACTCTATCTGACTCAAACCTTGGTCATTCCCCACGTATTTTGGCCTATCCCCGTGACATCACACTACTGCCAACCTTCTTCTTGACTGGCTCTGGTTTAGGTGGTCCCGTGAGGCAAAATGTTCATCCATGAACCAGTTCACTCAACATCACTATCGTCCAGTCCGTGATCCTCCTTGTGGCCTTAAATTCAATGCAATTCATCAAGTATTTATTGCATGGTTACCATATGCCTGCCCCCGTGTTAGGTGTGGGTAGTCTGAACATCAGTAGGACTTGCCTCTTAGCCTCAAAATACATGAACTATTTCACAGAATACCAACCTATTCTGTAACACAAGACAGAATACCAACATGTTTTGCAAAAGAAGGCTGGAGGAGCCTCCTCTATAATCATGCCAGAACAGATAATAACAAAGACACTCTGCAACCACAAAAGTAACCACCCTCCCATCCTGGCTAATGTGAGTGACTATGGCTCTCTCTCCAAGAACAACTCTAACTTGCTCCATTATTCCTACCTCCTGGATACAAGTTCTGAATATGCACGGACATCAAATTCCCTCTCTTTCTGATGGCACCCAATTGAGAACAGACCAACCTCCACTTCTTGGAACCCTCCCCCAAATCACCTTAAATAAGCCCAAATCCTATCTGTGCTCATTCCAAGTCCTTGTTACCCCATGGAGTAGAGTGTCTTGCTACATCAAGCTTAATAAATCTAACTTCTTTCTGTACTATATGCACTTTCCCGAAGGTAATGATTGGTGGTTGCTGACAATTCCTAGCAACTAAAACAGTTCCCAACACAGAATAGGTACTCAAAAAGATTTAATGAGGGAAAGAGGAAAGGAGGGAGGAAGGGTAGGAGGAAGGAAGGAATGAACAAACGAATGAATGAACAGAAGAATAAAAAAAGGAAGAAAAGATAGAAGGAAGGAAGGAAGGAAGGGAAGAAGGAAAGGGGGGAAGGAGGGAGAAAGGGAAGGAGGGAGGGAGAGAGACAGGAAGGAAGGAAGGAATGAACAAATGAATGAACAGATGAATGAAAAAAGGAAGAATGGAAGGAAGGAAGGAAGGAAGGAAGGAAGGAAGGAAGGAAGGAAGGAAGGAAGGAAGGGAGGGAGGGAGGGAGGGAGGGAGAGAAGGAGGAAGGAAGGAAGGAAGGAGGGAAGGGAGGGAGGAAGAAAAAAGAAAGGAAGGAAGGAAAGAAGGGCCAGTATTGTCAATGATTGGAGAAAAGATTTAACTTCTTGTTTTGAAAGACCAATTTTTGTTATGTTCCTGCTGAATCTGGTTACCACTGTCTTTTTTGATAAGACGATTGTACCTGACAATAGCACTGAATTCATCTTTAGGTGTTGTATCAAATTTAAGTTGTTCTTCCTTAATGATTCTCAACATGGGGTGATTTGGGGGCATTTGTAAATGTCTGGAGACAGTTTTGGTGGCAACTGGGGAGAGAGAGATGTGATGGCATCTAGGGAAGCCGCAGATGCTGCTAAGTATCATACTATACATAGAATGGGCCCCTACAACAAAGAATTATCAAGCCCCAAATTTCAAACTATTGAAATGAGAAACCTATTAATCTAAGGTCCTCTATTGTGGCTAAATGTTAAAATCATCTGAGAAGCTCTGAAAGCATTACCAAATTACCCCACACACAGAGATTCTGTTATGACTGATCTTAGGAGCAGCCTGAACAATTTAAAAATACTTTCCAGGTGATTCTAGAATGCAGCCTAGGTTGAGATTCTTTCACTGGAACCTGAGTGAAATTCTGGCTGCATTTGCCCTCTGTTGTCTTCTGGGCTCTCTCTCTGGCTTCTTCGAGGAGCTCTGACTGTGGAGGCTGGAGCACACCTACCATGTCCCTCATCACCCAGCTTCCTCTTCCTTATGCCTCAGGACTTCAGGTGACTCTACATGGCAGTGATGAGACACTTCTTCCAGTTATGTGTTCACATTCCATTGCTTTTTCTATGCAGGGAACCATCCTTTCCTCATCACCGTTGCTGGAAATCTGGCAAGGGCTGTTGGCATCTCTGAAGGCTCTGATGTCTGACCCCAAGTGTACTGTGCTGACAGTTGTATTAGATTCCCCAGAAAGCGTCTTAGAAAAATTGAACCTCAGACCCCACGCAGACATTCCTGGGGAATCCACAACTTAAACTGTGAAAAGTCTTGTTCACTCTAGGAATTTGTATTCTTTTATGACTATTCTGATTTCCACGGCTCACCTTCTGTTCTGGTTGTGTGACTTTCATTCCACTTTCTGAAGGATTGTTGTCTTATTGCTTTTTGGGGGGAGGGGGGCTCTCATGCTTGAGCTCAGCCAAGTGTACTGGGCACCAAAGATGAGTTTCATTAGAGACCGACCCCTCCACCAATGGGAAACAAAGAACTGACCTGAGGCCACTCCAGAGTGGTGCGGCCAGGAAAGCCTGGTGGGGCCAGTGGTGCTTGGGGCAACTAGCTCACCTTGGCCGAGCCAATGATCTGTCCATCCAGATAGGTGGAAACAGTACAATTCCTTTTCATCTCCTTGGTGACAACCACAGCCAGGTGGTGCCACTGAGCACACGCCAGCAGCTGGCCACACCGGACCCGAAGCTGGCGACCAGCAGAAGGCTCAGGATCATCCTCGAGTTCCATGACATCTGCAAGAGAACACAAACATGACACCCACATGCCGCAGCAATCCATCACAGAGGGATGAGCTTAGATAGCCAGGCTGAGCTCTAAATGGCAGAGCCTACAACAGCCACCAGCCACCAACCTGGACCAGCCCGAAGGAGGGTTAGGCTCCTGGGCTCTTACGCCAAGAGCTGCTGACTTAGCCCCATTCCCCACCAAGTGAAGGTGAAAACAGCTCCCAACACCTTACCCAGGGGCTGAAACTCTTTTTCTTCCGTAGACACAACTAAGGAGAGGTCGTCCGGGCACAGGCTGACAGAGAAGCAGATGAAGGGTTGCTCAGTCCTGGCCAGGTGACGCACCAGGGTTAGGAAGCGCAGAGGGTGGCCCTCAGTGACTGTGCTGTGCTTGCTGATCAGGAACCAGCAGCAGAAGGTCAGGCCCCCAAGCGGAGGGAATGATCTGGCAGCACCTGGAGTCAGAACAAGCATGTCCTTAGACTTTCTCTGCCTTAGAATCTTGTCTAGACTCACTGTGGGGCTCTGATTCAGCCCAGGTGTGGCCCTACTGTGTCCAGCTCTGGGTCTCATCTGATTCATGCCCACTTTATGTTGACCCCACGCTGCAGAAGCTCATCCTCATTTTCATACTCACATATTCCCACCAGGACTTGAGTCTAGATCCCCAAAGCCTCTCCCCAGCTCTGTCCCACCTATTATTCCATGCCCCCTTGCCAAGGGAAGGAGTGCATAACCCTGATATGAGTCATCATTGGCCCACTGGTCAGTTGGTCTAGAGCTGGGCAGTGTGCTATGGGAGGCAGGGGACACCAGGCTTGCTCAGCTGAACCTTGTAAGGGGAAGTCTCCACTCCTGCCCTGTAACAGGGTTGCAGTGCACAGCAGGCCCACTGTCCTCCGTGTGCTCCATGCTGGAGGGCTGTGAATGCAGTGGCTCCTCAGTGCCCATCATCCCAGAGAAACCCAGGTTCTCCTAACTGAGGGTGCTTGGCTCAGACAGCACCGGGTGCTTGCCTGGTCCTACCCAGCCAGTTTTTAGCTGAGCACAGCAATGCACAAAGCCTGCCAGGGCCCAGGTTGATCAGATGGCCACCTACATAGAACTTATATTCTTCTCTAGAAAGAGCCCGAAGGTGGGGTAAGGTGTTTGTCTCGACTTCTGTCAATCACTGATAAAATGAATCCAACCCAGACTCAGCCATCAAATCACCGACTGAGCCCATCAGTGCTCACTGAGTCCCCACTCTATGCAGAGTGGTGGGATGGGCCCTTGGGACACATAATAAACAGGATCCTCCTGCCCTAAAACAGGCATGACAAACCAGAAGGATGAGTCAGTCCCCTACAGCTATACAGAAACAAGGAAGACTCACGCTTTCCTGAAATGCCAAGTGGAATCTGAAATCAAGGCTCCCTAAGCACTTATCCTAGAGGTGGGGTGAGTCAGCTCAGCAAGCTAAACCCCCTGAGAAACACCTACCTGTCCCAATCCCTCCAGAGACCAGGTACTCTGTGCTGGTTCCCATAACAGTAGACACGGTTGGAATAAACAAACATCTGGAAACAGAAAAGTGTCTCAGATCACTGAACCACAAGCCAGCTTCTGGCCATGACGTCTCCCCTCTGTCCCTCTGCAGGGGCCTCACTCCCTCTTACACCATGAGGACAGAAAGTGGCTGATGCTGTTACAAGGGCCTAAGAGATAGAGTTCACACTGGATCCTGAAGAGGAGAGATTCCAGAAAGCAGGCCTGCCAGGGGAAGGAGAGGGCCATAGCACCACATGGTTGAGGCTACTGGCCTTGAGAAGCCACTGAGCTGCACAGTGTCCATGACCCAGATACTTTCTGGTCCTGAGCAGTAAGAGCTGATAAGAAATACAGTTTTCTGATGACTATTATAATTTATCAAGGGCCCTGGGAAATTAATAAAGTGCATTCCAGATATAAGGAAACGTGTTGTACCCATAACCTTCCATGGACATGTCAAATTCCACAAACGATGGAGCCAGGGCCGCCTTCTGAGGCTGCAGATTGCGCGGGGAGGTCATAGAGATGAGGCTGAGTGAGGTCTGAAGGGCAGTGGTTGAGCCCTGGGACGTCCTTGAGGGTCTGAGGGCCTGTGTGACTGCTGAGCAAGGGCCGGCATCCGGGGCGGCTCCTGGAGGACCCTCAGCACTCCCTGCCGCCGCAGCCGAGGAACCTACAGTGACATGCAAGACGTGTCCCCGTTCAAGCATACCCACTGCTCCTCTGCCAACAGCCTCCATGCTTCTGCCACAGCCCTGAAGGAGGGCGCCGCGTGTCCCCGCATTTCTTAACCCCCGTGAAGTGGCTCTCTACTGACTTAATAATACAGCTGCAGCACAGCGCTCCTCCTCGAAACTTCTTTTCCCTTAATTCAGTCATTCCCCACAACCCCCCAGCTTTCCGGCACACCGTCTTCAGCTGCCATCATTGGCTTGCCCGGCTGGGTGTCGCTCATGGACACGTTGTCCTGGCTCCCTGAACTCCCCGCTCACAGCGGCCTGTCTCTTAGAAAGCTCCACTCCCCTCCCCTGGCCGCCAGCACCTGCTGACTCTCCATCCATGTTCTTCAGTTGGGCCCCTTGCCCTAATGTCCTTATGTGATCTCACACTCAACCTGCCCAGAGCTTTCTAGTCGTTGAGCTGGTCCTTGGAGGCAGCAGCCTCCCAGGTACCGGGACTGATACAAGGGGATCTGCCCAATGCTTCGGCCTCGTGACCTCCTGACTGTCCCCTGAGCTGTGAGCTGTACAAAAAGCCATCGCTGGCACTTCTGCCCAGATGCAGCGCTGGTATTCTAGCTTGCACTGTATCACGAAGGAAACCCTATCACTGTTTCCATGATCTGGGCCCCATGGGGTCAAGTACATGCTCATGACCACCAGTCTCATATGCAGATGGGGGGGGCCTCCTTTTCCTTCCAGATCCGCCTTTCTCCAGGGACCACCAGTCCCACTTTTCCTCATTAGCTCCACTGAGCAGCAGGCAATATCTTTTTCTAAATCCGTCTGCTTCCCACCTGTTGTGAAGGCTCCCTTCTAAGGAATGCATATTCTTTTTAATTCTGTTAACCTGTCCCTGTTCTTTCCTCTGTCCTCACCTGGGCCTCCAGAGTCCTCTCCGTGGACACAAGATGAATGGAGGATTTTTGTTGCAGCCGACGGAGGTGGGGGAGCTCCAAGACCTAGAAACTGTCTAAGTATCACGACATATAAGAGAAACAAATGAAGACCTTTTGTGATGAGACTTGTTCTTCAGCTTCATCTAGCACTTTCCCAAATTGCAGGGCTCCCTGATGCCCTCCTCCACACTTGCCTCTCTCTGTCGAGAGAGCCTTTGCTCAAGCCGTGCAGAAACGGGGGGTGACTGACCTGGCACCCAGACCACAGAGCTGGGGCATTTAGGTGCCTTTGACTTAACCAGTGACCAGCTAGCAGCTTCAAATCAGATTTGGAAGGGAGAAGGAATTTGTCCTGCTTTGTTTTATGTCTGCTCTGTGCATCTTTCCAGGAAACAGGGGGCTTCATGGAGGGGGTGCCAGCAGGAAGGCTCCCATGGGATACAAGGAAGCACTCCTTCTGTCCCTCTCCTTGTCAGGAGTCTCGGCCACTGCTCGTCACACCAGCCTGGCTCCTACAGCCTCGCCCCTTGAGCAGTGAAGTCCTTACAGCCCCCGCCCCCACCCCTCTCAGTTCCCGTGGCTTTGGCGTTATCCACTGAGCAGTCCCCACGATGCTATTGTGTGTCTGCAGGACCCTCTGACTGCTGTCCCCTCTCCCAAGGACCATGGCTCCATGGGAGGGGCTATGTCTGCTCTGAGGGCTCCCCACTGCCTGCATGGACCCAGGGCTCCTGCTGGACTCGCAGTGTCCAGTGCTGGGAAGGGCCATACCCTGCACAGGGGTGCTGCGAGGGGGCACGGGGACCCCTGTCCCATGTACTCCTGCTGTCCACTGGGCCTGAGCACGGCTGCCAGCGGCTCGGCAGTATTTACTGCATGGCACACGGTACCTTAACACGTCTGGTTCGATGGCTTGTGAGGCAAGTTTTTCAAAAATCCTGATGAGGCCTGAGTGCAAGGGGCTGGTGCTGGTGGTCAGGGCCCTACGGCAGGAGGCCATGAGGGTCCTAAGCATCCCCGCCTCACACATGACCTGACGGTTCTTCTCTGATTTCACCAGGGACTGGATATGACCGGCCAAAGAACACTGGATCTCCTGGGAAAGCTAAGAGAGCAAAAGGAAGCAATGAGCCTTGCAGGTCAGGATATTTTGTGGGCAATTTCAATAGGCCCTCACCCAGGCCTCAAATCGTCTGTGGGGCCAGGCACCTGCATCCACACAGCCTGTCCTCACTGTACTGCGCCTCTCTTGGGGTTCTCAGATGTGCCCTCATCTTCTACAATGGGAGGTCCAGAGGCTGGTCTGGGGGAGAATGGAGGCCACTGAGGTCAGCTGCCAACGAGGTAGAGGCTTAAAGCAGAGACTGCAAGCCGGCCAGCGAGAGGCCACATCTGCCCCTAATGATGATTAAGCAGTTTCTGAATTAATTGTTAACATTTAAAGGTTTGGAGATTTCACATCAAAGTCCAGACACATGGCTCCTCTCAAAACGTAGGAAGACCAGGGTCAGACGGGTTTGCAGTCCTGGGCAGTGGTTGGGCCTCTGGTGGGCCCAATGCCCCCACGGGCCTAACTCATGGAGCAGTCTTGCATTTGAGTTCTCATCCCCTGGCACAGAGGATGTAGTGCCCCAGGGAGGCAGGCCCACAGGCAGTGCCCCTGCGGACTGGCTGTGGCCGGACCAGGCAGCGCTCGGCGCCCATGCCAGCTCTAGTCACTGCTCCTGTGTGAAGCGCTCTCCAACGCCTGTCCTCAGGCCCTGACTGTCATCCCCACATGCCTTCCAACTCTCCTTTATCCATCTCTCAGACACGGACAGCTGTGCTCTTATCTTACCCTTACTACTTTTCCAGTCCCTTCAGTATCTTCATGTCCCTGAGGTCCGCAGAAGAGAACTCATAGAGTCAGCTCAGCAAATATCTGAGCCAAATACATTGTTTCTGCAATCTTCCTTCCTTCGTACAAATATAAGCCCCTGGAATTCCCAGCCCTCTGTGGGTATGCAGAGTCTGGAGGGGGTGGGGGTGGAGTGGGGAATTCCTCTACAAAAACTCTCAGGGATGCCCACACTCTCTTTTACTGTTGTATAGCATGTTGTCTAAAGTGAGAGGGATACCAGTTAGAACGTAATGGAATTTTCCTGCACTGGATGCTGTGGGAGCCTCCCCCGGACCTCCTTTTCCAGGTGAGTGTACCCATCGCAGCTACCCCTTCTCTAGAGGACTGCCCTTCCCTAACTGGGAGCTGCCTTGTCCAGGGGCTACGTACCCCCCCATGCATGTTTTCTCATGCATATATACTCAAATGTGTATGCACACATGCTTGCACAAGCACCTATGTAGATACGAGCATGCATACGTGGGTGTGCGCATGCACGCGCGTGTATATACATGCCCACACGTCTATACGTATTTGTGGACATGCATACATGCACATGCTCACACACGCATGCATGCAAACATACACACATCTATAAACCATATGCACATGCGTGCACACACACACACACCAGACCAGAGCCAATGAGGCCACACCCTTCAACCTCGGCGGTGCAGTTTGTGCCTCAGAGCCTGCCCTGTGCACAGGGCACAGGCTGATGCTGGACTTCAACTGACAGCAAGTCCTCACTCAGTTTCTTCCTATGCATCATCCTACTTCCTTCACTCCCCTTTCCCTGAATCCCTCCCTTGATGGATCTGATGTACGTATACACTGCCTTGGACTCCACTTCTGAGGAACCCGACTTGAGGCCCCAGGATGCTTTACAGATTGCACACCTTTGGCCTAGCTTTTGGTTTCAAGAAAAGAGACCTCTGACAACATAGACCATGTCTAGGTTAGGCCACCAGTACAAAGCCAGGAGTAACCACAGAAGGCACTAATTTGAATAATAATCTCCTTCTAATGATGACTGGCTTTCCTCCCATCAAGTCACAGACCTTCTGATACACACACACACACACACACACACACACGAAAGCTTTCTTGGAGTCCTTCCCTGCTTGCCTTCTTCCCCCTCTGCCTCAAACAAGTATTGACGGCCTCTTCAATGTCAGGCTCTGGGTAAAGTTCTAGGCATTTCAAGATGAACAAGACACCGTCTCTCCTCTCAAGGCAGTCACAGGCTACAGGCAGGACAGGTGAGGGGGACAGTCTCAGCAGAGTAAGAAAGGAGCTATAGCAGAGGATTTACAGTGTCTGGGTGGGCAGGGTTCCCTTCAGCCCCTCATGCATTTCACAAAGTCTTGGATTTGGAAGGGAATCCAAGCCTGGCATCCACAGTGGGGGTCAAATTTTACCCTGGGATGAGAATATTTCCTGGGTGTCCAGGATGTGCAAGGCCCTAGTCTCAGCATTTTGACATGGATAGATTATACAACCCCCATGAGGACCCCTATGAAGGAAGTACTATTACTCTCCCCATTTTACAGATGAGGAAACTGAGCCCAGAGAAGTGCACTGTCCAGGCCACATAGTACAGCACAGCCTGGCTTTGATTCCAGACCCCATGATCAGGATCGCCTCACTTCCCATCTCCTCTTCACATATGCAGGGATTTGGGAACACTCTGCCCACAGCGATCAAGGGCATGCTTGTATCACTAAGGGACAGAAATTAATAAGATGCATTGTTCCACAGACCACAGACCACAGACACTGTTTAGTAACATATATGTTTAAGGATTAAAATGTATTTCGGGAGCGCCTGAGTGGCTTAGTCGGTTAAGTGTCTGACTTTCGCTTAGGTCATGATCTCACAGTTTGTGTGCTCCAGCCCCGCATTGGGCTCTGTGCTGACTGCCAGCTCAGAGCCTGAAGCCTGTTTCAGAGTCTGTCTGTCTCTCTCTCTCTCTCTGACCCTCCCCTGCTCACACTGTCTCTCTCTCTCTCTCTCTCTCTCTCCTGAAAATAAATAAAACATTAAAAATTTTTTTAAAAATAAAAAAATAAAAATAAAATGTATTTTGGACACATATTTACACTATTTATCACCAGTTCTTAGATTAAAAAAAAAAATGAAGAGGGGCGCCTGGGTGGTTAAGTCAGTTAAACGTTGGACTTCAGCCCGGTCACGATCTTACAGTTCATGGGCTCAAGCCCTGCATCAGGTTCTGTCCTAACAGCTCAGAGCCTGGAGCCTGTTTTGGATTCTGTGTCTCCCTCTCTCTCTGCCCTTCTCCTGCTTATACTCTGTCTCTGTTTCTCAAAAATAAATAAACTTTGGGGCACCTGGATGGCTCAGTCAGTTAAGCATTGGACTTGGGCTCAGGTCATGATCTCACGGTTCGTGGGTTCGAGCCCTGCGTTGGGCTCTGTGCTGACAACTAGCTCATAGCCTGGAGCCTGCTTCAGATTCTGTGTCTCCCTCTCTCTCTGACCCTCCCCTGCTAACGCTCTCTCTCTCTCTCTCTCTTTCTCTCTCTCAGAAATAAGTAAAACATTAAAAAAATTAAAAATAAATAAACATTTAAAATTTTTTTTAAAAATAATAAAAAATGAAGTGGTCACACAGCTCTCCCTCTGCCCTCCCCTCCTCCTTCCAGGAGCACATCGCTAGAGCTCCTGCCACAAACTCATGGCACTTAATAGTATTTCCGTCTTTACCCTATCTTCAGTCATACTTCCAACTTAAAAGTTTAGACTATCTTAATTTTAGTTTAAAATTTAAACCACATTAGAATGCTTTCTCAGGGGGCTTGCTCCCAGGCAAGATTTTGTCATCCTGAAATGCAGTGTCCCCATGCTGCCAACATTACTGATGCCAAAGGAAGATCTCATCATTGGGAGAAGATGGTGTCTGCAATGGGCTGGATGTCTGTGTCCCCAGAATCCACACGTTGAGCCCTAATTTCCGATGCCATGTATTCGGAGGTGGGGCCTTTGGGAAGTGATTAGGTCATGAGGGCGGAGCCCCCATGAACGGGATTAGTGCTTTTATGAAAGGGATCCCAGAGAGGCTTCTCTTCCTTTGTGCTGTATAAAGCGCAGTAAGAAGAGAGCCATCAGTGAGAAAGGGGGCCCCCACCAGACACTGAATCTGCCACCACCATGCTTTTGGACCTCCAGCTCTAGAACTATGAGAGAAAAATATATGCCTGTTGTTTACAAGCCTCCCAGTCTATGGTATTTTGTTATAGCAGCCTGCAGAGACCGAGACAGCCCCTTCTCTGTCTCTGCAGTATTGACACAGCCAGCATCAACTGGGAGAGGCAATGTGTAGCCCAAAGGGGGCCAGAGACAGAAGGTAGAAATGCAAAACTCATTTGTGCTAAATGATTCCATCACCTTCACTTTGCGGTGCTCCTCCACGTGGAAATCTGCCCAACCTCCTTAAGTCCCTTCCCCAGACCTTTCTTCTGCAATTTTCAGTGTCTCTCCCTGCATCTCATAGGGCCGGCGTCTCTGCCTTTCCTCTTCTTCATTCCTCTTGGAACAAAAAGGGAGCCTGCACCCCCTTGCCTTGAAGTTTCCTTCTCCCAGAACCTGGGTTGTTTGGTACCTGCAGTCTTTTAATTTGGGGTGAAAGTTGGGGAGACAGTCTGTATGAAGCAAGATGTAAAAATAACCTCACAATGTATTATTAGTAAGAATTAAAAAGAAATGTCTACATTTCCAGTTTTATTACCAGCACTTCACTAATTCACTTCGGGGAGTTTTGGCTTTCTTTTGTTGTTGTTGTTTGCTTTTTTCCTTCTTTATCCACCAGAGAAAAGCTACTTAAATTCCAAATATGCAAAAAAACAAAAGAGAGAGAGAAAGAAAGGAAGGAAGGGAGAGAGAGAGAAAGAGAGAGAGAGAGAGAGAAAGAAAGGAAGAAAGAAAGAAAGGAAGGAAGGAAAACATGGAAGTTTTCAAAAGGGAGAAGTGCTAATCTTGTCTAATGGTGCCACAAGTTTACTCCAAAATTGCTCAATACCCCATAATGGAAGAGGGAAAATTGATCGTCCTCATTATCACTGCAGCTCTGTCAATACCAATATTGCCTTGTTTTGAATAAAATGTGCTGGTTTTTTCAATGTTGGTTCCAGTAAAAATGGGGTTTTAGTGAAAATATGAGCAGTAGCAGGAAACAAGTCTGGTTTCTCCCCCACCAAATGGATTGAT